AGCAGGTGAACTTTTGAGAGCACATTGATTTAAGCATTGGAGTGGGGAGGTACTAGAGAAGTTTGGGGCCCTGAATTGAAGTGGAACTGGGTTCTTTCTGATGAACAGTAATGGAAAGTAAACACCTCTCCTCAGTCTCAAATATAAAATAAAATGAATAATGCTAACCCCACATAACCTACATTCCCTTTTTGAGTATCAAATGAGGTTTGTTTGATAAAGTTCTTGAAAAATACTAAGTGTTCATCAACTGCAAAATGTAATCTTGGACATCCTGGGGAGTTTAGTTCAGGAGCAAAGGTGCAAGTTGGAATGTGTAACTAGATACCAGTGTCTTGGTGTGTCCTTCCTGATACATGTAGGAGTCTGTTTCCTCTTAGCACATTTCTCATGGCTGTAAGCAGAAGGTAAGATGGAATGGTAGGTTCTTTGGTTTAAGTTTTTTTAATCTCTGTCCACAAGCCTGACCACACAGTGTTCTCAAGAAGTCTGCTTCATAACTTGAACTGTGGTCCAGCAGGAGGGTTACTAGGTAGATGCTGCCTGTGGAAGTATGTCAGAAGACTGGACAGTGGCTGTGACATCTTTGGACTCTATGACCAAGTAACGTTAAGTAAAAAATGATATTTAAATTGTTGAAAACAGCCCATTAGCAGTAAAAGAGCTTTTGTCATGATTGCTTAGAGCATATCTGAAACTTATAGATGCTCTTAGGAGCATAGGTTCTAGTCTTGGACCTTGAATATTGGCCTTGCCACTTAATAGTGTGGTGGCCTTAAATACTTCTGAACTTCGGTTTCATCATATAAATAAGAATAACACTATCAGACTCACGGGTATTCTTGAAAGGTTCCTTGAGGTAATACCTCAAGGTATAGGTATTATACCTTAGGGTCACACCACACTGGACACATACAGAATGTGTACCAACTATGGTTGTTTGTTGGTAGTGGTATTGTTAACTAGCAATACTAATATTGAATAGGTATGTGAAGGTACGTTTTCATTTTAGGAAACATATTTTGATGGTACTTAAAATAGTTCTTCAGAATGTATCCGATTTTGCATTGATAATTATAATTTTTTTGGTGGTACTAGAGTTTGAACTCAAAGCCTTGACTACTAGCCAGGCCCTCTATCACTTAAGCCATGCCCCTGCCCCAGCCCTTTTTGCTTTCATTTTGGATAGGGTGTTTTATGCCTGGCCAGCCTGGACTGTAATCTTCATACTTATGCTTCCTGTGTGCCGCCATGCCCAGCTTTTATTGGGTGAAATGGGGTCTCCTGAACCTTTTGCCTTGAACTTCGATCCTCAGTCTGCCTTCCAAATAGCTAGAATTACAGGCTTGAGCTACCACGCCTGGCCATAAATTATTTTAACAGCTACCTCATATCTTTATAGTTAGTTTTCTTTAAAGAGTTTTTGATTGAACATACCACTCAAAAATAATTTTAAGCAGTTTTTGTAGGAGACTGTATTTAAGCCTATTTCCCGATGAATTCCATTTATAAATACCTACTCCATTTTGTGATTTATTTAGTTTCTTTGATGCTTAAAAAGATGCTAAACAAATCTTTAAACTTTATTGAATAATTGAATCTTCAAATATTCCTGTTTTTTCCACATACCAGTGTGCGTCCTTTTCTACTTTAAAATATTTGGTAAGAAAAATCTTGATAGTGGGCACTATTGAATTTCATGTATGAAGAACTATTTTGCCTGTTGAATTTATGTGGGAAAGGCCATTTGACTTTAGGAATGGATTCTGCCTAAAGAGGAGGCTCTTCCACATCTCCCCACATGCATATCAAGGCCAGCTGCTTTTCTTGCATACACAGTGCTGAGGAAGCCTCTTCCTCCAGGTTTGTTGAGGTGACCCGTTCAGCAGTTTGCTGCTCTTCTTTCCCTTTACTTTTGTTTTCCCAGTCTTCATAATTTGAGCAGAATTGTTTTATATCTGCCAACAGAAAACCAGTTATTGGATAGCCTGTATTTTTCTACATTTAGCCACTGGTATTTACACAATGGATTTGCATGTGTAACAGCACAGCCTTTAACCATGGCAATTAAAATCATCTTGAATAGATGTAGTAACACTTAAGTATGGATTTTAGGCTATAATTGCTATAAACTTGTTACACATGTATGTTTACAAGATCGCTACTTATGGCTGAATGTAAATGCTTAAAAGTTATCATTTTTCAGTTTCCTTTTTTTAAAAAGGGCCTACACAATTGTGATTTCTTTTTTTCTCATAGCTTGCAACAAAATTCATTTTAGCAATGCCACCATCATTCAGGTGGTAATATAAGGACTGACTCCTTGAATGCTGGTGACAGGCAAAAAACTTGCTGTGAACATATATTACTTATGGAATGCGAACATTCTGAGTGTTCTAGTTTGTTAAGAAATACACCTTGGTTAAAAAGGGACTGTCTTAGACTTGAGTTTTATTTCACTTCTGTTTTTGGAGCCACTGTTAACATAATAAGATTATATACTATGACCCCAGAAATCCCTTTTCCTCCACATTAGTTGTATGAGCTACATAGCAAATCAGCACATGAAAAGATGTTAAATATCATTAGGTATTAGGAAAATGCAGATTAAAACTAGTGTCACTATGTACTTGTCATCATGCCTAAAATAAAAAATGACAATGCCATGTTGTGGTGAGGATGCCAAATATTTGGATCTTTCATACATTGCTGGTGGTAATATAAAGTGATACAGCAACTCCAGACAGTTTGTCAGTGTCCTAAAAAGTTAAGCATTCAGTTTCCATGCATCCCAGCAATTATACTCCTGGGCATTTATTCCAGTGAAATGAAAACTTATTTTCACACAAAAACATACATGTAAATGCATGTATGTGACTTTATTCGTAACAGCCAGAAACTGGAAGCAGTTCAGCTGTTCCTCAACAGGTGATGATTAAACAAACTATGGTGAGTCCATGTCATGCACTACTTCTCAACAATACAAAGGAGCTGTTGACACACACATCAACTTGGAAGAAGCTCCAGAGAAATACACTGAGGGAAAGAAGGCAGTCCCCAAAGGCTACATACTGTATGATACCATTTATAAAACTTGCTCTTTAAAATGACAAAAATTTCAGAAGTGGAGAAGAGATTTTTGGTTGCCAAAAACAAAGGAGGAAGAGAAAGCAAGAAGGAAATACATGTGGCTGTAAAAGGATAGCAGGAGAGATTCTTGTGATGAAGGAAATGTTTTAAATTGTAACTAAGTCAATGATACCTTGATGGGGGTGTTGCACTACCCTTCCCAGTTAGAAAGAACTACCTGTGAATCTACAGTGATCTCAAAGTAGAAAGGTTAATTTTTTTTAAAGTACAATGTTACATGAATGTTCTGATGTGTTTTTTATTTTTGTAGACTTATTTATTGGTGGTTCGTTTGATCATTCATTCATTTAAGAAATAATTGAGTATTTGATACATATTTAATCTGCCCTTACTGTCACAGTCAAATCAGTTCTAAAACCAAAATCATTGCCAGCCTGTAATTGTTTTATAATTATAGCATAAAGGATGCCACTGTATTTTATTACATAGTGGTACATTTTGTTGCTTACATACATGGCTCAAAGCCAGCTCTTTTGTAGGTGCATTTTTGGGTCTTGTTAACTTAAATTTTTCCAAGGCATAATTATTGTGACTATGCTTCATGATACAGACCTAATAGGCCTCTTGGTTACACATTCATGTGTGTATAAGAGCAGAGAAAACTAGAGGAATCAGGTCACTGTCCTAGGCTCTGGCTTATCTGAATGGTGAGGTGAATTTCTGCACAGGCATGTGAACTTCATTTTCCCAAGGGATCAGCATTCTTTCAGTTCCCCTTTGGATTTACCTGGCAACACAAAGTGTCTTTCTGGAACTTTGAAGAGATGATATTTTGAGCTCAGGGCAATTCCACAGCTGAATTTAGTGAGACAACAGTGCTTATGATGAATAACTTAGAGACTAGTTTTGTCAGGCCCATGGTTAAGTAAAAGTTGACTTCTGAATTGTCCAGAACCAGTGGAAGGTTTCCTGTCTAGGTCTACATCATTCTGCTCCCTGAAGAACTTTCCACAGATTATGCTTTGACATAATATTAGGGGTGACAGTGTCTAATGAGTGAAATATGATGTGTTCAATAGCTGGAAATTAGCTCTAACAACCATAGGAATATAGGAATTGTTTTGGTTTGGCTCAGATATTTTCATGTAAGAATTGGGTATGGGAAAAGGAGGTAAAGCCAGCTCTAGGTACAGCTCCCTTCCTTTGACTTTATTATTTTGCGGTGATCCTGATGAGTAGTGGATTGAGGTTGAGGAACCAGATTAAAATCCTATTCCATGCTTTCAGTTTTGCAGAACATGAATATATGGGATTGTCTGTAGAAGCAATGTGATAAATAGGTTAGACCCAGGCTAACTTGGCACAGTTTGTTTAACTTAGCATTTATCTGCACCATAATACCCTTATTAATATGCAGAGCCTAGCGCTCTCTTACCGCCTTGCTTCTGTCAGGATAGGAGTTTCCAGTTTCTCCTAGAAATGGTGATCTTTTTTTCTGCTTAGCTGCTGTGGCCTGAGTGAATGCAACAGCCCCAGATTCCAAACAGTCTTGGCAGGAGGGTAGCAGTGGTTGTGGGAATCTCTGCTGACTCTGTGCAGGCCCTCCCAGCTTCTGAGAGATGGGGTTATCCCTAATGGCAGTTGGTCCCACCCTGCTGGTGGGAAAGGAAGGGGAACTTTTGCAGCCTTAGGCTAGACTGGGAGGGCCTCTTATAGATGGGCCCTCTGGGATCTCTGTGCATGGAAATGTGTGAAAACAGTGGTTAACAGGCTCTGAGTTAGCTAGGTTAATGGTGACATGAAATCTGGTGTATGTATGGGCGGTGATGTTTTTGTCATTATCATTAGATCCACACATCCATGTTAACATCCCTTCTAACTTTTCTTTTTCTTTTTTTTTTTTTTTGTAGTCTCAAACCATGAATTATGTAGGCCAGCTGGCTGGGCAGGTGCTTGTCACTGTGAAGGAACTCTACAAGGGCATTAACCAAGCCACCCTGTCTGGGTGCATTGATGTTGTTGTGGTGCGGCAGCAGGATGGCACCTATCAGTGTTCACCTTTTCATGTACGGTTCGGGAAGCTGGGAGTCCTGAGATCCAAAGAGAAAGTGGTAAGTACAGCACACTACCTGTTTCTAAGGCAGGGAAAGAGGGCATCAGTGAGCGAATTGTCATCATGCTTTTTCTTGGCCTTATTTTTTTTCTTAAGCCTGCGTGTTATTGAAAACAATGGTATGAGAAGTCACCTTTTACATATTGTTTTTAAGGGGCTTCTAAAATCAAAAGGCCCTATTACAGGAAGTCTCTCTAAAGGAGAGAGAAACTAAAAATTATTCTGATAATCCTCTGATAAATTGAGGATGTTAGACATTTCAAAAAAAAATTTCTGGTCAGGCAAGATGGTTCATTTCTGTAATCTCAGCTACACAGGAAGTGGAGATTGGAAGGATCCTAGTTAGAGGCCAGCCCAGGCAAAAAGTTAACAAGACCCTCCCCACCTCAACAGATAAGCCAGGCATGGTGGTACGTACTGGTAATACCAGCTGTGTGGGAGGCCACAGGCAGGATTGTGGTCTGAGACCAGCCCAGGCAAAAATAGGAGACCTTATCTAAAAATTAACCTAAAGCTAAAAGGTCTGGGGGTGTGGCTCAAGTGGCAGAATGCCTGCCTACCATGTACAAAACCCTGAATTCAAACCTCAGACTACCAAAAAGAAAAAAAAAATTATGTAATATATATAGCACTTGAAGATATTCAGGGTAGTGCTGGTGGAGTAGCTCAAGTGGTAGAGTTCCTGCCTAGCAGTATGAGGCCCTGAGTTCAAACCTTAGTACCAACAAAAAAAAAAAAAAAAAGAAAGAAAAAGACCAAAATATTCATGGTAATAACCTTCATGCTAATTATGAAAGGACTAGGCCATTCTCATCAATAACTAGGTTATATTTTTAAAGGAAACTAATACCACATTTTGTTTTCACAAACCTATAAAATTTTATGTGCTTATTCGTGTGCCAGGAACTGTCCCCAAATCGCTGAACTCAAAGACCATAGGCTGTTGATGTTCATTTGTTTTAGAGAAGAGTCGTTCAGAAAGAGGATATTTGTGTTAGTCTTTCTTTAAGTTGAGAGAATCTATTACCAGCCTTTTGCTATTTTACATAGCCTATTTTTATTCTTTAAATATAAATTTCCCTGTATCTTAATTAAACTTACGTTGTTTTGAGAGTGGAAGAAAAATGGGTTTCACAAAACTAGGTTTTTTTCTTTTCCTCCTAAGAAAGCATCTCTTTTCTAGGTGTTACAAAACCACTTTCCACTGGAGTGGCAGGACTTGTGTGGCCTGGCCTGGCCTCTGCTCAGTTGCCCTTTAGAAAGCAAAAGTAGTTGCGATTTTCTCCATGACTTGGAAACTTTCCATTGCAGAGCAGTGTTGTTCAGCCACAGTTTAACTGTCCTACATTTTTCTCCCTCACCCCACCACCCTGTAATACTGTTAGTACTGTTAGACTGGATCTGCGGTGGGGAGGGAGGGAAGACTGCTTCTTAGGCTCTTGACCACCACCTCTCCCCCAAACTGGGTTTTGATGAGCAGATTGGATTAGTCTTTCAGCCTTTCACAATGGAACCTGCAAACAGATACATGTAAGTGCTTGGCATCTTAGAGATGACTGAACAGATAAGTTACCTTTCTCTGCATACTCTATAACAAGCCTCTAATTTAGGAATATGATTTCTGCACAAGGCTAATTCCATCATATTATTAAATATCTTGTGAAACTCTTATCTCATGCAAAATCCATGAGACACAGGAGATGAGAAAATTTTTCTTTTCCCTTTCCTCCCTTGATATCCCAGAAACCCAGAGAGTATGTTTGGGAAGAAATTTGGCCATTTGATTTACCAAAACACAACTTCCCTGTTTTATAGTAAAACTGAAACCATAACTGCCTTCAGATATGCTGACAATTCACATTAACTGCCTCTTACGTTAAGTCAGTTTGGATTAGGGAAAGCTATTTGTTGATTTTATGCTGAGATTAGATTTTCAAATGTGATGCCTGTGAGAGATGTAGTGTAATAATTTCCCAACAACTTTTGGTTGCTTCTTCTTTGATAGAAAACCAATAATCCCAGTATATTATATTATAACTCAGGAATTTAATTTTAAAAAGCAAACTTTTACTTTTTTTTTTGCAGTACTCAGGATGAACTCAGGTTGATATTTTTAAATGTTAATTTTGTTGACTTATCACAAAACTGAAAATTATCAGAATAAAATACTCAGTGTATTAGAACTCTTTCCATTGTGAATAACAAAAATCTACCTCCTGCTAGCTTAAGCAAAACAGCTTGTGTAAACAAGGTCCAGGGGTATTTGATTTAGTCATGACTATTTTAGAGGTTTTAAAGGTGTTGCCAGAATTCTCTTTATCTACCTGTCAGCTCTGCCTCCATGTGAGTGGGCTCTCCCTAATGTAAGATGGCAACCAATATCTCACTGGGGCTCACAAACCCAGTGGGAAGAGCTTCCTATAGAAGTATTGGTGTTTCGTCTCACTTTTAGACTTGGATTACATACATCATAAGGATCAGTCACTATACCTACAGATGGAATATATTGATTGGCCTGGCTTGAACAAGAGCCCCACCTCCACTCCCTGAAGCCACTTGAAGTACCCAGTCTAAAATGAGGATAGACAGATTCCCAAAAGACACTGAAAGTACTCTTAACAAAGAATGGCATGTCGAATCAAGTGTCCATGATACCCAGTATTTCTGAGTGTAACAGCTCTATTTCAGCATCCCAGTTACATATATTAAGCAAGATTGAGCTGCATTGTAGGAAGTGTGACTATGTGGAAATGAATGAGTGGTTATTTTAGAAACAAGTTTACTAGAATTTAACATATCAAAACAAATGTCCTCTTTAAAATAATGACCTTGAGAAGCATTTGTTCCAGCTTGGTGCAGTCTCATAAAATAGTTTTAAGATGCTTTTCCTTTGCTGCCTAAAAACCTCTTGCATATACTTTTACATATCTTCAGTATTAGTACAATGTGATGTTAGATTAAATTTTGAAAAGATCAAAGTCCAGTCAAGAGAATAAGTATTCATACTCAGAATTGTCATACTCAAAACCTAAAAGTGATGGCTATGAAGTATTAATTTTTCTAAGATGACGTGTAAACAGTTTAGATTCTTTATTTGCATCCTAAAAGAAGCACTATTCCATTTCCCTACCAATGCTAGATAAATGGATAGCCTCCAGAAATGAAAAATGTAAAGGATATTAGTTTGAATCTATTTTTACTAAAGACAAAATAACACTAAATATTTCATTTATATTGTCAGTATACAACACATTGACAAATACTATTTTAATTATTTTCTATCTCTAACTTCTAGTTGAGTAAATTTTATTAAATATTTAAATCATCCTGAGAAACCTAAAATTTGGGTTATAGGGCTAATTTAGTGTTTCTCTGTCTCCTTGTTTATAATGGGTTTTTTTTTTTCTTTTTCAGTTCTTGTGTAACTTTTAAAGTCAGTAAGTGTTCTACCTATGATTATAGATGAAACTGCTAGACTACAGCTGTTTCAGAAACCTCAGATGATAAGCAATTTGTACTAATCTGAAGTTTTTTGCAGTAAATATTTTCAATAATAAAAAATGTTACAAAGGCTGACTGGAGCCAGTGGCTTACACCTTAATCCTCACTACTTGGGAGTCTGAGACCAGAAGGATCACTAGTTCAGTCCAACCTGGGCAAAAAGTTGGTGAGACTCAATGTCAACTGAAAAACCTGAGTGTGGTGGTGCATACCTGTCATCCCAGTGATCAGCAACAATGGAAGCTTGAAATAACAAGATTGAGGTCCAGGTGGACCTAGGCAAAAAGCGAGATCCTATCTCCAAAATAACCAGAGCAGAAAAGCAGGCAGTGTGGCTGAAGCAGTAGATTGTTGTCTTACAAGCAGGAAGCCCTGAGTTCAAGCCCCATTGTCACCAAAAAAAGAGGGCAGTTGACTGGAAAAGTTAGGGATAATGTTTGGAAAATGATTTATGTACCCACTTATTTTTCAAAGTAAAGGGAAAATGTGTTTTTTATAAAATTATTAAATTAACATTTCATACATTACATAGGATTTTCTTATTCATTCTGTATTTCACTAATTGCCCATTTTCTTTCATAATGTTCCTCCTTATCTTGTTTTATAATTAAGATACAACGAACTGCACATACTTCAAGAATGCCATTTGATGAGTTTTAACATATGTTTGCACCAAGGAAGCCATGACCACAATCAAGTAATGTTTTATTGCCCTGTCCTCTTAGTCCGTCCAATCTCTGACAGTTCCTCAGTCTTTCTTTTTTAATGACACTTACATATGTATGTTTGTTTCAGTCAGAGTATTAGTGTGTAGTCCAGGGTAGCCTCAAACTCATGATCCTCCTAGGAGCCTTGGCCTCCTAAATTCTGGAATTATAGGCGTGTGCTACCATGCCTAGTTTTGATGTACTTTTTAACTTTTTACTTTTAGTTAATTTTAGGTAGGCACTCTACTGCTTGAGCCACACTTCTGGCCCATTGAATTAATTATAAACTTACAGACATGTCACAAATGTAGTTCAATAAAGTTTCTTTCACCCATTTCGCTTCCCTAATGTTAACATTTTTATGTGGCCATTGTACAGTTACCAAAACCAGAAATTAACATTAATGCCATATTATTAACAGTACGCAAATAACAGGATATGCAAATATCCTGTTTCTCCTATATTTCTACGCATGAATTTTATCATACATTGATGAATTTTGCCTACAAAATTGCTAATGTATTTGCCAAATGGTGGGATTTTTTTTTCTTTTGCAGTACTGGGATTGTGTTCAGGGCTTTGAACTTTTTAGGGCAGTATCTTACCACTTGAACCACACCCCCAGTCCATTTGTTTTTTAGACATTTTTTCTTAGTTTGGTTTTAGATGGGGTCTTACTAAGTTTTTCCCAGGCAGACCTCAAACCATGGTCCTTCTCTGTCTTTCCAGTAGCTGAGATTATAAGTGTGTACCATCATGCTTGACCCTTCTGTTCCATTTATCAGTTGAAATTCTGTATTGCAGAGTTATCCCTGCTGCAAGCAGTGACTCACACCTGTAATCCCAACTACCTAGGAGGTGGAGATTGGGAGGATTGAGGTTCAAGGTTAGCCCAGGCAAAAAAAGTTAGTGAGGGTTCTTCTCAACAAATAAGTTGGGTGTGATGCTTCCCCTCTGGGTTCCTAGCTAGGTAGGAGGCATAGGTTGGAGGATTGTGGTCCTAGGCCAGCTCTGGACAGAAATGGGAGAACCTATCTGAAAAATAAGTAAAGCAAAAAAGGGTTGGGGCATGGCTCAAGTGATAGAGCACCTGCCTAGCAAGTATGAGGCCCTGAGTTCAAATTCTACTATCACCAAAAATGTAAGGAACTATCCCTGTTCTCTTGTTGATCAGTTATTCAATTTGTGTCACTATGGACTCAGATACTGATTTTACAACCTAGGTTTTATCCATTACAATTTTTACTTGTGCTCAAATTGTCCTAGTTTGTCCACCACTGTTGCAGCTCTTTAAAATTGAGTCCTTTCTGAAATACTTCTTTTTTTTTTTTTTGTATGTTTTGTTTATTTAAGATAGGGTATCACTGTGTAGCCCATCCTGGCCTCGAATTCACAATCCTCCTGCCTCTGCCTCCCAGATGCTGGAATTACAGGCATGCACCACTATGCTTCCAACATTTTTTTGAGCCTTTCCTGTCTGGCACCCTATGGAAAATGTGCTTTCTCTACCTTAGCCTTGGAATTTTTTTACATCTCCAAAGAGCCCTGGTTCCTTTTCATTGGAGAATAGTATTTAGAGACAAAGATCTGTTCCCTCAATATTACCATGACTGCTGAGGTGTCACTGCTTTTAGTTCTCAGCTGGCAGAGCCAGGAAACATGTCTGTATACATGTACAAATGTATACATCTACATCTGTAAAAATTAAGTGTGTAGGTACTTCTGATAATGGTGCATCACCATAGGTATCTTCTCTTCTGTAACAGTAGAATAGTCGTCTCATTGTACACGATGTATTTCTTGATTTGTTTAGTACCACATCCACATAAAATAGGTTTGAAATTACTAATCTTTGTGGTTAAGAAAATTTTACTGCTATACAGTATGTTTATAGTTCAGTTCAATATGTATGTATATAAAATTTGTAGACATCTTTAAGTCTTAAAGACATTCTTACATTGCACAGCTCTGGCTGCACTGTGGGTCATTGTTCCCACAGTGAGCTGGTTCTTCTCTAATTCTTAAGTTTGATACGATTTTTTCTTCCAGCATTATCAGTTTTTATTTCTTTGCTGCACTTTCATATCTTGGTCAATAATTTTCTCTTTCAATTGTCCATTTTTATAAGTGTTACATGGGTTTATCTCTGGGTGTTGAAGCTACCAGGCTTTGCTCTCTGCTTAAACTGAATACAGATACGCAGTGGCCAGTCATCGACATACTTTGAAGAATAATGTGATTGTGAACACACTGATCCTGTTTGCATATGTTATCTGTGTAGCTATCTGTGGGCAGAATTCCAGATTCTGCTAGGTGAGGCCTGCCTGCTATAGCTTGGAAAGTGCACAAATGTCTAGTCACAATATTTGGGAGATTAAGCAATAATTTTTTAATAAAAATAGATGGTGAAACATTTTCTTCCAATCTCTGCTTAGTCACCCCTCCCACACACAGATTTGATTCTTTAAAGGGTGGGATGTGGGGTAGGTGGCAGTGTTACTCTAGGAAACTCAGAATTGAGGCTTAGTTACCTTGAATGAAAGACTGCTTGAATACTAAATCACACTTCTTTGTTTCCTTAGATTGACATAGAAATCAATGGCAATGCAGTGGATCTTCACATGAAGTTGGGTGACAATGGAGAAGCTTTCTTTGTGGAGGAGACTGCAGAAGAATATGTAAGTTCTCACTTCACACATTGTATTTCAGGCCTTTGGTACAGGTCCTAAGACAGAAATGGTCAGCAGTTCTTATGGCTGTATATCATTGTTGCTGGTTAGATAAGCGTCAATTAATGTTAAAGAACTAAACTGTCAGAAAGGAGCTGGGGGATGAGAAACTTTTCTCCACCCAACTTTGGAGAGGGTATAGAGAACATAAGGAAGCCTTTGTACTTGCTCTTTTTAGAAAAGGCACATCTGTTTCTAACTTGGATAAGCTTTCTACTTAATTTCTGTTAACAGTTTATGCCTTGATTTGAATTTATTCAGTTTTTCCTAAGTAATTAAGGCATAATGTGTTAGGCTATATATATATATGTGAGCTTAAACTTCAAAAAGATGATTGCCTTTTTGTTTAGGAGTGTGGGATTTGTTTTGGTTTTTTGTTTTGTTTTGTTGGGACTCGTGTTTGAACTCAGGTTCGTACTTACAAAACTGGCTCTATATCACTGAGCCACCCTTTCTGTTCATTTGTTCTGCTTATTTTTGAGCAGGGGTCCCTCAGACTATTTGCTCAGATCAAACTGCAGTCCTCCTGATCTGACCTCCCAAGTAGCTAGGATTACAGGCATGAGCTTCTGGCAGACTTGTTTAGGAATATTCTAGCCCTATAACCACATAGATTACGATCTCAAGATTTAAATTAATTAGTCTATGTCCTTTAATAAATGATTATCTGTTAGGCTTCTTTTAGCATGAGAACATAGTTTGTATAACCTGCCCCACCCCAGCCATGTATATACCAGTTTGAGCAGGGATAAACTGTTCTTGAGGCATTTAATGTGGCTCTTCTTTTTTAGAAAAAAATCTATATAAGGCATTATTATGCCTTTTTCCACAAAGAATAAAATTTCAAATCACAAAAAAGATAAGCTTCAAGTTACTAAGGATATAGAAGTACATTTTTTTCTTTTGAATGTAAGCTACTAGTTTGGTGTTAAAATTCACAAAAATACCACCAAAAAATAAATAGCAAATGAGACTGTGTTTATCATTTTTTAGTTTAGAGAAGCTTATTACCTTAGGAACCAGTAGGTAAAACACCTTTGTAAATTATGAAGGGAACCTTACCAAACCAGTGCTTTTCTTAATATTTGCTAAATTGTTTTTTTATTACCTTGTTTGTGTTTACTTAACCTAAGCAAAACTTCACCTTATCAGAGACAGAGGCAAAAAACAGAATAAATCATAATAAATAGCAGCTATAACAAGAATAAAATATTTTTGATGTTTTTAAAGCCACATGTAATTCATGTCTCTGTATAAATCAACAGATCAAGTAAATAAGAGGATCAAGATTCCATTAAAAGCTGTTTTTGCAAGGTCAACTTGGAAAATGTCAATTTTCCAGCCTCCTTCCTATTCCTTTTATAAATTTACCAGGTTCTATGTAGTATAGAGTTCCACTTTAAAATAAAAAAATTGGTTAATTTATCCAACAAATACTGGAATTACTGCTGTGTGCTGTATACTATGAATAAAATGTATCCCTTGCTCTCTAAAAGTTCATGATTTAGAGGGAGATAAAATTATCAAAAACCCATCTGGTTGCCATTTATTTAGTTTTTGTTTCTCTCAGATTTGTCTCACATAACCGTACATCATTAACATGCCTTTCAAGTCAGTAATTCTAGGTCTAGTTCTTCTAATAGCTGTACAATTTCCCACAGTATGCATATGCCCTGATTTATTTAACCATTCTCTTATTTTAGACATTCAAGTAGTTAATTCACACACACACACACACACACACACACATACACACAACTATAATTAAACTAAGAAATGCTACCAAAAAACAAAACAGCTTTCAAAAAGTACAGGGAAATTTGACATATAACAAAAGACCATTAAAGTAAGCCCCTAGAAGTCAGAGGGCCTCTCATTTGGGTGCCTTGGGTGCATTTAGAATATCTTACCATAGTTGTGGTATTGATGATGAATACAGAGTTTGCTTAGATAAACAAAATTTTATCTTCAGGGTAATATGTTTACCAAAACCAAGTTCAAAAGCTTAATGGAAAACAGTTATGAAAGCCTACACATTTTCAAAACTACTGTGTAAACCTTGAGTAGTCTAAATTGGAGGTGAATTTATGCCTCTTACCTTTCGTTTATCCTGATGATACAAAGGAATAAAGCAAATGGGTATGAAGTTAATTTACTGGACACTCAACTATTTGTGCAGTATTAAATTAGGAATTTAATTGCTTCTAAATGGACCTCCTTTTCTTCCTTTGAATACATTATGATATAAAACTCACTAATTGCACTTGTAATTACCTTCTTCCACTCTTAGTTAATTTGGTTAATTTGGCACTAACCACTCTAAATTTACCTGCATCTTCACTTCGTTTACTTGCCCTGCTGCTCTTTGTCTGGTATAGTGTCCTTAAGTTTTGCCTTCTGCTTTATGTTGTTATTACTGTTCTTGACAGAATCCTTTGTAACACCTCTTCAAAATGTTTCTGGCTCTTTAAACATCTCTTTGCAGATAATTTAATTGGGTCTGCTTTAATTACAGCTTTTGTATGTTTTTTTACTGGGTTGGCACCTAAGTGCTTCCAAATGTACTAAGTTTCGTACACTGAAATGCATGTAACACTTAGCTGTGTTTAGCAAAGTAGAGACCTGCTGGAGCAGAGCACGCAGTACCTGAGTTCACTATGACTTTCTTACTTTTAGGAAACATGTCTTTTTCTACCACTGTGAAAATGTATATACCCAAAGTATCAATTATTGCCTCGACGCCCCCACCCTGTTCAGTTTGTTGTGGATAACTTTTTTTTTTCTCCATGTTCTTTAAGGAAAAGCTCCCTGCTTATCTTGCCACCTCACCAATTCCTACTGAAGACCAGTTCTTTAAAGATATTGACACCCCTTTGATAAAATCAGGTGGAGATGAAAGACCATCTCAGAGTTCGGACATCTCACACATCTTGGAAACAGAGACACTTTTCACTCCAAGTTCTGTGAAAAAGAAAAAACGAAGAAGAAAGAAATGCAAACAGGACAGTAAGAAGGAAGAACAGGCTGCTTCTCCTGGTGCAGATGACACGTGCGATGTGGGTGTGAGCTCCGATGATGAGAAGGGATCCCAGGCAGTGAGGTAGGGCTCTCAGCCTGGGCGAGGTCTTCTACATTGCCCTGCAAGGTCTTCTACATTGCTCCTGTGCAGTAGGTAGAGCTCAGGAAAAGCCACCTTTTTCTGTTGCTGTTGTGGAGTCAAGTGGTAGAAGCATCATTTTCTATTTTCCTTTTGCAACCCTGCAGGATTTACCATTAGACATCCTGCTGTGGCACCAAATAAATTGTAAGTCAAAAGATGATCTGAATTCGTTCTTGTCCTGGTGAACAGATGCTAGTGGACATGTCATTATTTGAGTTTCCCCGCCAAGGGCCTTTTTCTTTTTTTTTCCCTGGGTCAGGTTCACCCTATGCAGCTCAGACTGAAACCTTGAACTCAGAATTGTCCTGTCTCAGCTGGGGTCACTGGTGTATACCACCACGTCTGGCAGTCCTACCCAAGGTCTTGTGCTTGGGATCTCACCAATTCTTGAAAAGTTGAGAGTTCTGTTTTATTGAGTTTATCATCAGATATTCTAGTAAGTTAAAGAGGAAGGGGTTCGTTTTTTTCTTTTCAGTGAAAGCTCTTGGTCACTTCTTAACTTACCAGCTTAGTTGAAGAGCTTGAAATACATGCCATTTCTAAGTCAGCACTACTTGGGATTTAAAGATAACCATTGGAGGTAGAACATATATTTTCTCATTCAGGATTTGATTTTCTTCCACCCGTTCCACTCAATGGGCAACTGACACTAGAAGGACCATCCATGTGTCAGTGGGTGATTCTCTTCATGGCAACCATTGGACAAGAAGCCACTGCCCATGAGTGGTCCTGCATTCCCAAACCCTTTATTTGAACTGGGGAATGGGTTTTATGAGGGGGTACTGGTATGTTTTCAGTCCTTCCCAAAATAAATCACACCTTCCTTCCTGGAAAATGTAGTGCTTTTAAAGTATTTTTTTGTCACAGAAAGAAGGGGAAATTTATTTTTCTAGACATAGAAGCAAAGATAGAAAGCATAAACTTTTACCTTGATCTAGTATGTGTTTTATTTATCAGGCTTTTTTTTTTTTGTCAAATCAGAAAAAAACTAAATACATGATTAGTACATTCTAATTATATTACATTAGCAAATAACGTAATAGAATAATTTCTTTTTGGCAAAAAGTTTTACTTATTTTCTAAAATTCAAAATCTATATTGTAAATCCTAGAGTAAAACCTTACATCTGACAGTAATTTTTAACATACTAAATTTTTCTACCCATCTGATACTACTCACCAACTGTCACATATTCTTACTCCACACACTGTTGAATATATTTTTTATTTCAGTTATGATAGAATGCATAATTCTTGTTAGAACTAAATTTTTTTTTTTTTTTTGGTGGGAATGGAGTTTGAACTCTGGGCATCAGGCTTGCAAAGCAGGCACTCTACCTTGAGCCATGCCTCTAGTACATTTTGCTCTGGTTATTTTGGACATGGGGTCTCATGAATGATTTGCCTGGACTGGCCTCTAACTTTGATCCTCCTAAGTAGGTAGGATTATAGGCATGAGCCACCGGCGCCTAGATAGAACTAAGTAATTACAGATTGGGGAAACAATGAAATGTTTCCCAGTGAGCATTCCCCAATGTTTATAGACCAGCACAAAGTATACAAAAATTTTGTCTTATGTATAGTAAAATGTGTGGGCAGACAAAAAATACATTTTAGATAAATTTGAAATATCTAAATATATTTGGATTAGCATTATATAAAACTCACTTAAGTACCTTATTCCTGAACATATTTTTTGCCAACCAGAATGCTGTTAAGATCCTCTAAAAAAGCACCAAAAGGGCTGATAGAGTGGCCGAAGTGGTAGAGCAAGCATGAGGTGCTGATTTCAAACCACATTACTGCAAAAAAAAAAAAAAAAAAACACTGTGTTGCTTTTGCCCCTAAAGTTTTGTTGATATTTGTCCCTTGTTACCATAGTAGGACAAAGTTTAGAACTTCTGAACAATCTGCAGCTTTAACTTAAGAAGTTAAAATATTTCTAAGACATGTACAAAGTCCCCTACTAAATACACAAGAGTTGTTAATCTAAAGGAATTTTGTAAATGGATAATGTAAGTCACTATATTGCAACAATACTAGCACATGCTTTATTTGTTTTATTATAAATTTTTTATTAGGATATATTCATTATATGGGGGGGTGATTTGTAGTGACAATTCCAATTAGGTTTATGTTATACATTATTTACATTGCCCCTATCATCTCTGCCCTTCAGCCCCCTCCCCACCCCACTTAAAGCAATTGCAGGAGGTTTTTTAGTTCTGTTTTATATAGGTATATGAAGTCCATCACCATGTACCATCACCTTAACCTCCTTCCTTCACTCTTCCCCTATCCACTAGTACCCTTCTCCCAACCCTGCACAAACATTGTTCCTATTTTACAGTCCTGGTTTTCATTATTAATATTTAAGTTGACATTCAGAGGGGTGTCTCAATATATGCCCACTGTGGGTGTGCTCTACTTTGGTCTATTCACTTCCTTCCTTTACCCCTTTACCCACTCCCCATTTTTCAACAGCTTTCAATACACATCCTTATATCCTCTACCTTCACATCTTATGGTATGCAACATTACTGATGCTCTGTCATTCTCTTCTCCTTTCCCTCTTTCCTAAAGTTCCATAGAGTAGTTCCACTGTTAGAAACATGTTCGTCATCTGAGTTTGTATATGATCATGCTTGTTTTTGTGTATATGTTCATTTTTAGATCTATTTTCCATGTATGAGAGAAAACATGTGTCTTTTGTATTTCTTATCTTGACTAACTTCACTTAACATGTTGTCCTGTAATTGCATCCATTTACCTTTAGACCCAATGTCATTATTTCCTTGTGGATGAATAATACTCCATTGTGTATATGTGCCACAATTTCATGATCCATTCATCAGTTGTAGGGCACCTGGGCTACAATCAGAGCTTGGCTATTGTGAATAGTGCTGCAATGAACGTTGGTGTACAAGTGTCTGTACTGTATCCTGTCTTACATTCTTTTGGGTAGATGCCCAGGAGTGATACCACTGGATCATATGGCAGTTCTATCTCTAGTTTTTTAAGAAATGTCCATACTGCCTTCCATAGTGGTTGTACTAATTTGCAGTCCCACCAGCAGTGCATAAGGGTTCCTGTTTTGCCCCATCCTCGCCAATATTTGTTGTTGTATTACCCTTGATTATGGCCATTCTAACCAGGGTGAGAGGAAATCTAAGTGTTGTTTTGATTTGCATCTCTTTTATAACCAGGGAAGTTGAGCACTTCTTCATGTATTTACTGGCCATTTACACCCCTTCCTTTAGAATTTCCTGTTTAATTCATGTGCTCATTTCTTCATTGGGGTGTTGATTTTGGGGGGGCTGAGTTTTTTTGGTTCTCTGTTGATTCTGAATATTACTCTCTTTATCAGTTGAGTAGCTTGCAAAGATTTTTTTCTTTTCTGTGGGCTGTCTCTTGAGTCTGGTGACTATTTCCTTTGCTGTGCAGAAGCTCTTTAGTTAGATGCAGTAACATTTGCTCATTGTTTCTCTTAGATGCTGAGTCTTTTGAGTTCTGTTTAGGAAGTTGTTCCCTATACCTATCTGTTCCAGTGTATTTCCTACTGCTTCTTGGAGTTGTTTCAAAGTTTCAGGCCTTATATTAAAGTCTTTGATCCACTTTGAGTTGATTTTGTACAGGGTGAAAGACAGGGACCTAGTTTCAGTCTTCTACATGTGGATATCCAGTTTTCCCAGCAGCATCTGTTGAAAAGGCTGTCTTTTTCTCCATTGTGTTTTGGGCTCCTTTGTCGAAGATCAGTTGGCTATACATGTGTGCGTTTGTGTCTAGATCTTCTCTTCTACCCTGTCTGTTTTAGTGCAAATCCCATGTTTTTTTGTTATGGCACTATCGTATAGTTTGAAATCAGATATTGTGATGCTTTCAGCATTAGACTTTTTGCTCAGAATTGCTTTGGCTGTGCAAGGTCTTTTGTGTTTCCATATGTATTTCACGGTTGTTTTTTCTATTTCTGTGCAGAATGTCATTGGAATTTTGATAGGGATTGTGTCAAACATGTAGATGGCTTTTGATAATATGGCCACTGTCACAGTGTTGATTCTACCCATCCACAAGCATGGAAGGTCTTTCCATCTTCTGATGTCTTCTTCAATTTCTGTCTTCAGTGTTTTATAGTTTTCATTGAAAGGATCTTTTGTTTCTTTCGTTAAATTTATTCCGAGATGCTTTATTGTTTTGGGGGCTATTGTAAATGGGATTGTTTCCCTGCTTTCTTTTGCATTCTGTGCATTGTTGGTATATAGAAAAGCTACTGATTTCTGTATGTTAATTTTATATCCTTCTACTTTACCAAAAGAGTTTATGATTTTTGGTAGGTTTTTGGTAGAGTTTTGGGGGTCTCTTAGATATAAGATCATCATGTCCTCTGCAAATAGGGATAGTTTGACTTCTTTCTTCCCTATTCGAGTCCCTTTTATTTCTTGCTCTTATCTTATGCCTCTGGCTAGGAATTCCAAAACTATATTGAATAGGAGTGGAGAAAGCAGGCAGCCCTGTCTCATTCCTGACTTTAAGGGGAACCATTTCAGTTGTTCTCCATTTAGAATGATGTGGGCTCTAGGTTTGTCTTATATAGTCTTTATTATTTAAGGAACATTCCTTCTATTCCTCGTTTCTTCAGAGCTTTTATCATGAAATGGTTTTGGATTTTGTCTAAGGGTTTTTCTTCATCTATTGAGAGGATCAGCACATGCTTTACTTTTCCAAATTCTGTGAAAAGCTACATTAACCAAATCTGTTGGAGTACAGTTCTAAATTGTTGCCAGATTATCTCTCTAAGCCAAGATCTTGCTTGGTCAGCAAGCATCTAACAACACATGTGAACCTAGAGCCTTGTAATATCTTCAGGAGCTTGGTGGTTTGCTTTTTCTTTGGGTCACTGGTGAATTGTTAGATGAAGTCACTTGATGAAACTCTCCTGAAATTTATCTGAGCCAGGCATGGTAGTACATACTTGTAATCCTAACCCTCAGAAGATTGAGGTAGGAGGATTGTGAGGCTAGCCTCAGTAATATAGCAAGACACTGCCTTCAAAACAAACAGGCCCTCCCCTCCCCCGCGCCACCGAGATTTGTTAAATTATGCAGCCAGTAGAAATTAAGACTGGTTTGTTTATATCAGCATCAGCACAACTTGAATAATGCTTTGTACTGAAACCTTTCAAAGGCTACAATGTGAACAGCAGGAATCTTTGAGCTCTGTTGTGGTCATGTTCAGTTTAATCTTTCATTGACCAAACCATTCTTATGTAGCATATGTCATGCATGTACAAAGCCCCTTTCAACTCCTCATCTAGATTTTAAAGTAACTTGAGGGAAGATACTTACATTGTCACTAGCAGTGTACTAAATAGAACATTAATACGTGAGAGAAGGGCTGGGGGTATAGGTCAGTGGCAGAGCACTTGTCTAGCATGTACAAGGCCTTGGATTCAATATTCCCAGCACCATATACATTAAAAAAAAAAAAAAGTCTGAGAGAAAAAGAATAGAAAGTCTGTTCTTGTTAGTTGTGAGATCCTGGAATTGTATGGGATTGGAGAATTTGTAGCTTTCACACATTTTATACTCCTTGGCTCCTACTATAAGGACTAAAAGGAATTCTTTTTCCAGAGAAGATACACAAACTTTTTTGTTTTTTGTTTTTTTGGCAATGCTAGGAGTAGGACCCAAGGCTTGTGCATCATTCTAGGCAAGTGCTCTATCACTGAACTACATCCCCAGGCCCTAAAATTTTATTTGTAAATGGCATTCTATTGAAATGCTTCACTTTTCAAGAATTTCATTGATTATAGAATCAAGGTTAATTGAGGCTTCTTGAAGAAGGCAGATGAAAGAGAGTCTTTTTTTTAAAGCAGGTTATTGTTGCAGTTAGAAGAAAGTCATCTGTGGAAACTATACGGGGCTCTGTTTACACTATACCTAGTAAGTCTCTCTCTTCCCAGAGATAAACTTTCGGCTTGAATATAGTGTGGAAACTTTACCTGTCCTCCTACAGGATAGATGGGAATACACATAAATATGTGTCTGTATGTTTATTAAAAATACTGCAACTTGCTTCCTTTTGGAGGAAAGGGACTTTTCAAATTGGTTGATATTCTATCATAATTTTGTATTTAAATATACAGAACATTTAATTTCTAGATCATAGATCCAAAATACACAAAACATCATTTCCATGTCTCTAATGAAAATATTTCAGCTACCCAGCAGTAACAAAATGAAGGATCAAGAACAAACCATCAGCAAGAAATCTCAATTTCGTACTAGGGTTTGAACTCACGACTTCATGCTTGCGAGGCAGGTCCTGTACCTCCTGAGCTATACCTCCAACCCTTTTTTGCTCTGGTTATTTGGAAGTAGGGTTTCACTTTTCACTCAGGCAGTCCTGGACCACAGTCCTCCTGTTTTAGTCTTCCTACTGTAGCTGAGATGACAGGCACACACCACATAGCTAGCTTTTTCCATCAAGATGTGGTCATACAAACTTTTTGCCTAGGTTGGCTTGAGACCGTGATCTTCCCAATTTCAGTCTCCCAAGTAGCTAGTATTATAGATGGGAACCACCAGTGCCCATTTTAGGAATCTCAACTTTTTAATCTACTTGAGAAGGCTGGCTTGCTTAAAAAGATAAATCTGGCAGCTAAGTCCAGAGGAGACTTGTCACAGAGAGCATCTGTTGCCCAGAGGCATTGTTCATCTCCTAATCATTAACTGACTTCTGTAGACCCTTCCAGATTCTGTGGTAAGTGTAAGTATTCAAGGTGATGTGGATCTTACAAGTGCCCCTGCCTTTTCCCTGCTTCATTCTGACATAGCAGCAGAAGCACTCTGAGGTTCCTTTGAGTCCTGCTGTGAGGTATATCTTTTATGGGTGTGTCTTATATCCAAACGCCAGTGTAGTTCATTAATCATAGATCATTAATTGTAGATCTAGTTAATTACTGAAATTGAGTAATACTGTGCTAAGGTTGCTGATAAACATTGTTAATGTAAGTTAGTGATCTTTGGTCAAGGTACCTAGCAGCCCCATTTGTCTCTTTCTACCAATTAAATAGTTCAGAATTCATTTGGCATCTACACTTTATCCCACCTAGGTTCTTTGAGCTATTTATTTTAACTTTGTGTTGATTTTCCCCCACCTTAAAAAAAAAAGTGAAGTATAATTTACAGAACAATTATTTACACATCTTAAGTGTGCAGTTTAGTGGATTTGGGCAGTTGTATACCCCCATGCAACTTCTATTAGCACTAGAATTGGGAAAATGTTGGTTTGTACAATGATGGGAAACTTGAAGATACAGTGTAGAAGAGCATGAGTGAGGCCCAAAGTGCTCTGTGTGCTGATAATGAGCTTGAATGACTGTAACCCCCAACCCTGACTGAAAGTTAAATTACTCACTCTGTGCTCCTGCTAATGCATGTTACGTATCACTCCTGCTTTAACACAGATATAGTCTATGTTCTTCCTATTTTCTCCACATTCTAACACATAGACTCCCTTAATCCTCATGTTGTGCTTAACTTAAAGTCTGCCTCAATGGTCCCTATTCTGAGTCATGTGCCATTTTGAAAGTGCTTAACAGATTTTGAAGAATCCTGTTACATAATAAAAGAATCAGAACTGACTGAAAGGAACCTCAGTATCAGATATCTTTCTCACCATTTTGCTGAGCCTAGAGTTGTGGGCTCTGTTTTTGTCAGTATATGCCCAGAAGAAGCCATTTCGTGTTTTCCTGGGGTTGTGAATTCTTAATGGCACCTGAACTCTTCTTGGCTTACCTTTTGTACTGTAGTGAGATATATCCCAAAAGGAAAAACTTTTAATATTAAACTTTCTCTTAAACTTAGGTGGCTTTTATTTTAGCCTTTCGATCACTAACACCTGCATGATATTGATGGTGACACTGGTCTGGGCTTTCAGTTTTGACAGATAAGACCAGTTCATGGGTGTTTGATTTTTCCTTTATCAAGTAATTCTTTTTTTGGATTTCTGCTTTTTTTTAGGTAATTTTTTTCTCTCCTTGAATGAGATTGTGTGTCAAGGTAATACTTAGCACGAAAGAAAATGACTTAGGAAAACCTAATAGCAAAATCTTAAACTAAACGATGTAGGCATATGGAAAAACTAGTATATATCAAAATTAGCATAATTTATATTTTAGCAAAATAGAGTATGTTAAGATATAAAAAAAAAAAAAAGGGCTGGGGAGCCTGGTTCAAGTGGTAGAGCACTGCCTAGCAAGCACAAAGCCCTGAGTTCAAACTCCAGGACCACCACCACCACCAAAAAAAAAAAAAAGTTAAAGAAGAGAAATAATACTAAAAAATCTAGTTTCTTTTCCTGCTGTTAGTTTACCAAAATAAGTGATATGATATGTTTACTATCTATTTCACTGGTACACTGAATGTCTTATAAGAAGTTCTTAAACTTTTTAATATGGAGCACACCACATAAGTCTCACGTTGACTGTGAAGTAGGACAAGTGATAGATTTCCAACTAAAGATGAAACTAGTACACTAGCCTTTTGTCTTTGGGCAAGTTATTAAACTTCTGGATCTTTGATTATCTAGCATTGAAAATGGAAAAGTGCTACATCAGATTTATAAGAACTAAATATTTGTATCTGTCTGTCTACACAAGTCTTATTTACCTTGAAGGATGTAAAAAGGGAAGTTTTAATCACATTTCTGTCCTTCCTCTGTTCCATAGTTAGCGATTTCAGTAGTGTTTGGTGGATGGCAGTAATGAATTCCTTTTGAAAGGGTTACTCCTCCTTTTATTGTTTAGGCAATTTGTCAGTAGATGTGGGGATATTTCAAAGCTGACATTTATGTCATTGTTCATGTTTGTTTGGTTTTTTTTCTTTTTCTCTTTCACAGAGGATCTGCAAATGCTTCCTTAAAGGAGGAAGAATGTAAGGATCCTTCACTCTTCCATTCTGGGGATCACTACCCCTTATCTGATGGAGATTGGTCCCCATTAGAGAAGTAAGTATCTTTGAAATTTCTGTTTTCTTAAGGGAAAAAGGAAGGATATATTAAGTAAATTTGTTGTTTAACAATAACTGTTCCTGTTTTTCTCATTCGCAGAATCATCTGAATGTTTGCTAAGGCTTTTACATGAATATGAACTGCTTCAGTAATTTTTTGTTCCTAAATTTGATCTGGTTTAATAGTGTTGGCCAGTTGTCAATCTGTATAATTACCATAGAATTTTCCTCATCTACTATTTTTAAATTCTAGCTGCTGTTGTCCACTGTTGACTGAATAATATAGTGAGAAAACGTGTGTCATCTGTTTATTCTGGTGTCATATTTTTTGGTTTGGTTTTGAAATGTACTATGGATTGACTCAGGGTCAGTTAGGTGTTAATTTAAACCACCTTTCTGTGTTTTTCCTCCCTTATAAAATTGCCTTTCTCATCAACATCCTGTGAGAAGCAAATGAAATAGGGTATATAATAAAGTGTTTGCAAAGGACCTAGTAAATCTTCAATAAACATTCATCAGAGAACTCAAATGGAAGAAATAATTGGTGTTCTCTTCAATAGAGAGTTTATAGCTGTTGGATAAAATTTATATATTCAAACCTGTATTTCCTTTACTCTGTCAATCTCAGCAAGACTAAAGTTTTCTTTCTTTCGTTTTTGTGTTTCCAGCACCTATCCTCAAGCATTGTGTCCTAAGAGTGATTCAGAGCTGGAGGTGAAACCAGCTGAAAGCCTGCTAAGATCCGAGTCTCACATGGAGTGGACATGGGGCGGGTTTCCAGAGTCCACTAAGGTACTGGAGTTTACTCTCTTAAAGTCTGTGAATGTGTCGATTAAATACTAGTAAAGAGTCCATCTATAAATGAAGCAACTTTTGACTGAGCTCACAGAATTTGACCATACTGTCCCTCCTATGGTTATAAAAGTAATTAAAAATAACAATTTTCATAACTTTTTCACTAAGTATTTCCAGCAGTAATTTTTATTTCTGTTTAGTAAATAATAATGTTGATTGCTAATTAACATAAAAATTTAAAAGGCACCTAAAGGAAATGGTGTTTCTACACTGAAATTTTAAACAAGCAATTGATTATTAAAGCTTTTTTTGCCAGCTTATAATGGAAGAAGGAAAAAACTCAGAAAGTCAGATTTTTTGAGAGAAAAATGTTTGGATCCTCTGTTGAATTTAGTTTTTTTAAAAACAAACTTTGCTTATGTTTATGATTTTTTACTTCTCACTTTAGATTGTTTTGACAGCTTTGAAGTAGTCAAAGCAGGGTTAAATTTTCATTTATTAAGTTTTTTCCTTTAAAGTGAATGTTTTCTACCTCTTAGTATCTGAAGATTATCACATCTCTACAGTCTTCTCTCGTGTTTTAACTCTTCATAGTAGAGCAGTTATAAATATAACCTTTATAAACTTCATGATATTGAAAAGTTACAGTTAATTACTTCTTGCCATTTATGAACTATTTCACACAATACATTTAATGAATGTGTTAATAGTAAAATGAACACATTTATCACCTGAACAAACCGATTATAACAAATACCTTTGAAATTAGTTTAATTTTTAAATCAACTTTTCTAGGTTAGCAAAAGAGAACGATACGACTATCATCCCAGGACAGCAACAATTACTCCATCAGAAAATACTCATTTTCGGGTAATTCCCAGTGAGGACAGTCTCATAAGAGAAGTTGAGAAAGATGCTTCCATCGAAGACACTGTCTGTACCATAGTGAAACCCAAACCTAGAGCCCTGTGTAAGCAGATGAGTGATACAACTTCTGCTGCAGAACTTCTGGAACCTCCTCCTGAGAATCCTCTGATTCCATCTATGTTAGATGCAGACCACCTTCCCACCCCATCCCTAGTGGAGGCTCCCTCAGAACCCAGGCCAGCAGCTAAAGTAGACTCACCATCAAAGAAGAAAGGTAATGCTTTGTTTAACTTGGCATTAAGTCCTCGGACTCTAGATGGTCAACTGTTTTCAGTGTTTTGAATAATATGTGATCACTATCTTCATACTGTATCCAATCAGGACCCATCATACATTTTATTATGATTACTTACTTACTTAACTATGACTTACCTATTACCTGTTCCATCAAGTAACTTGTTCCACTTTAACTTCATTGCTACTGTCTCCTGAGTGTCACTATTCAGGAGATTTGGGAAGTGGTTATTGAGAAAATAAGTGAGTTCTACTCGGTTAATGAGTACAATGACATAACCACTGTCACCTTGAAAAATTCACATTTGTATTTCCCCAAATGTACTGAGTATTAGCAGTTTATTTTTCTCCCCAAGCCAATATCCTGCCAAGGTTTACATGTTACATTTGATTATTGACTACCCATAGGTAAAGTGAAATCTTAAACAGCTTTATGTTTAAACAGAAGAAAAGTGCAACGGAGGAGAAAAGTGTATTCACCTGAAACATCTGTCAAATTAAGTACTTTTTTTGCAATGATATGGGGTAAAAAAAAGTATACTACTTATTGGTGAGTTCTTTCATTAATTATTTCCCTCTAAAATAAGTAGAGAGAAGGTAATGTCCAACTGTTGGCTCTATAGCTCTGATTCATTTTTGGAATGAGCTTAATCAAAACATTCTTAGTATTTAAAATAGTTATCCATTGATACTTGGTACAGTAAATCAGTACCTATGTTTCACTGCCTTAAATCCTATTTTTAGGGAAATAAAATCTAAAATTATCCCTCACTATATTAGCCAAATATCTACTTTAAAAAAAAAACAAACCCATAAACACACACACACACCCCCAAAGGTTACATCATCACAAGTTGACTTAATAAATACCTGCCACAGATAAGGAGCACTTCAAAGTCACTTAGAAGTAAGTTATCTAAAATAAAAGAATGTGATGATCCAAGGGTATTTACCACCAAATCTGACCATCTGGCTGATGATGGCTTACTTTGGCACCTGTTTTTTCACCAAAAGCCCATAACCATTTGTTCTATTCTAAGGACTGTTAAGGGGGAAATCCAGTTCTTCTAGGGTGAAAGCTTTGTATCAGTGTAGGAACTGATAGAGATAGGAACATAGAGTGGTTCCCACCATTCTTTGGCTTCATTCTTTGTCCCCCAACTTTGCATTATGAAAAGTTTTATACTTAAAGTCACATGTTGCTTAATGACAGGGATATGTTCTGAGAAGTGTATCATTCGGCAATTTCTTTGTTGTATGAACATCAGTGTTCTTACACAAACCTAGATGGTATAGGTCAATCAGTAGATGCAGCCTCTTTTAGTGGTGGTATTGGGATTTGAACTCAGGTCCTCATGCGTGCTAGGCAGATGCTCTGCCACTGGAGCCACTCACCAGTAATTGCAAGATGCAGTTAAATATGAGATTTGTGAGGCTATTGTCAGCACTCTTTATCTTATAGTAAGCTTGTTTTTATATATAAATTAGAAGAAGTATACTACCCTAAAATACATAAGTCAGTAACATAATCATTTTTATCATCAAATACTGTGTAGTGTACATAATTGCATGTTCTATATTTCTGTAGGGCAAACAAAATTTTCAGCTTCCTTAATAATCTTATAATAATCACCGTTATGTATTTCATCACTAACTGAACATCATACACACAGCTGTATTTGCTTGCTACCTCAATTGCTCTCCCCCTCACACACATAAGTTTATTACTTTAAACCATTCGGAAACAAACTGCAGATATTATAACATTGCACCATCTAAGAGTAAGAACATTCTACACAGAACCATAATACATTGTCATCTTTTTTATTTGCCACGCTGGAGACCGATCCCAGGATTCTACACATGTAGGCAAGAGCTCTACCACCACTGAGCTACACGTTTTGAGACAAGGTCTTGCTGTGTAGCTCAGGCTGGCCTTGAATTCACCATCCTTCTGTTTCCTGAGTGCTAAGATTATAGCCATGTACCACCACATCTGACACTATTGTCTTCTTGAAGATTCCATATTTATATTTCCTAAGTATACCAAGATATAGTCTTGTACCATATAAAGACATACTGATGCAGTAGCCATGTTAATTTGTGTGAGCACACACTGAGATTTGCACAATATAGTCCCCTAACAGTGTCTCACAATGTCTCCATCACTAAGCAACATGAATATACCTTTTTACCTTGTTTATTTTAGCCCAAATCCTGTCAAAGTTCACATAATGCATTTGATTTTTATGTTTCTTTAATCTTTTACTTTAGAATAGTGCTCTTCTACCTACCATCTTTCTCCCTACTTCCCTCTCCTTCACACCTCTCCACCCATGATAATGACCTTTAAAAGAGCCCATTTAGTTGCCTGGTAGCCTCTCATGTGTCTGTCTGTCCAGGTGAAACCCCCATATTTCCCTAACTGGAAATTAGCTGTAATAGCATTGTCTCATAGAAATGTAATATGAGTCCCATATATAATTTTGAGTCTTCTCTTAGCTTTTTAAATTTTTTAAGCAAAAGTTTTCAATAATGAATTTAGTGTTGTGCAGCACAAGTAAGTATTTTGAATAATTATGAAGGGAAATCCTGCATAGCAAAATGAAAAATAAATTGAATAGAAACAAACAAACAACAAAACAAACCCTGAGTTTGTTTAAGCAGTTTACTGTGTGAACTTGGTTAAACATTAGTACATGTATTTATTGATCATTTTCATTGTTTTTCTTATTTAAGATTCTATTTTCAGTTGTTTTTAACTTTATCTTTTGTATGGTCATTTTGTAGTCACCTTTTCAATTTTGAAATCTTTTCCAGTCTTAGATATTTCTCCAGTTACATTGGATCAGAATATCTTTTTTTAAAGAGTGAAAATAAGTTTAGTAATATATTTATCTAAAGCAGTAAGTCTAAAATGCTATAATTTCAGATGTAATCAGTATAAAAATTGAGATACTTTGCATTTTTAGTTCTGTTTACACTTCTTTACATTTTTTAAATGTTTTAGATAATTTTTAAAAGTTGAGATAAATATAATACTCTTTTTTTTTTAAACTGTTTCACATACTTCATACTAGTGACATTTTAAGTGCAAAGTAGCCACAAGTGGCTGGTAGCAGTGTAGATGTAGAGGATTAATTACATTGGGTTAATTTTTCCTTTGTTGCTTAGGATAAAACATGGGCCTTTCAGATCCTAAGCACATGTTTTACCACCAAGGTGCAACCTCAGTCCTATACTGTGTGTCATGATGGTCCACTATTAGCGATGCTGAACATGATCACTATTTAAGGTATTATCCACCAGATCTATTTGTTGTAAAGGATTTTTTGGTGGTTAAAAGGTCTTTTGGTGGCTAAAAGTTAAAATGAGTGAATAGTTGAGCACTATGAAAATACTGTTCTCCAACAAACTTCCCTTCATGATTTTAGAGTAGTGGCCTCATTCTCCATGCCTATGTAGCCTTAAGTTTGGTCATGCTTGTTCTATGAAGATTTTTTAATTATACCATTAAATATAAATTGTCTAGGGGCTAGAGTTGTTTATAGAACAGCAAAGGAAAGAATAAGTAGTTGACATATGTTCATTGCACACTAAGTTGGCTTGAATGGTTGAGAATCAACGTCAAAGGTTAGTTGACTATTTCAAAAATAAAACCCTATTCAAATCATTGTCCATCTTCTTTGGAAACCTTTATTTCACAGAATTAAAAATGAAGAATAACTGAATTCTTAACCTCTGATATGTTTTTCCTATGAAAAATAGGTGTCCACAAGAGAAGCCAGCATCAGGGACCTGATGATATTTACCTTGATGACTTAAAGGCCCTAGAACCTGAAGTTGCAGCTCTCTATTTCCCTAAAAGGTAGGGTGTGCTTTGTGTTTTGAAGTGTGAATAACTCTGAAATGGTTCAGTTATTCCATTGGAGGAAAGGGAGCAAGGTGATTGTCTTTTAGCTATATCTGGTTTTTGCTTCAGGTTTTGGAATATGTGTGTTATTTTGACTACAGTGACTTCAAATCATTAATTAGCTATTTATGAAGAGACTAAAGAAAGACCCTGTTAACCTACATACGGATATGTGACTTTAGGTTAGTGCTTTTTATAGTTATTAATAGCAAATGAAATGCTTGGGAAAAGCCTTCAGCATTTTATATATTATGTTTTAAAATAATACATCTTCATTAAAAATGTTTTACAAAGAATGCCCTACTCTTGGAGACTCTGAGACCTTTTCTGAACTGAGTTCTTGTTCTGTTGTGACCTCAACCCAGGGGCTTTGTGTTGCCATATTTTCCACAGCTTTCACACAACCACCCACTCCATTCCTCATGATTTTCCCCTTAGAATAACTCAGACATGAACCCCAAATATGTTGCATGTGGACTGTCTTCCCAAGCTTATTACACCTTTTGATGAATTACATTATTATACTCTGTGGTTACAAAACTCAACTCATTTTTTCTAGAGAGTATGATTTGAATTTTCGGAACCATACATATCCACTTCTAAATGAATTATTGAAGTGTATTTCATTTTTATTTGGAATAGAATGATGAGAAATTGTTTTTACACTATTTTTGGAGGACTGGCAGAGTGGCTCAAGTGGTAGAGAGCTTGCCTGTCTAGCAAGATGAGGCCCTGAGATCAAACCCCAGTACCACCAAAAATATATACATATCAGTATTTTTGGATGTTCTTAAAATTCTTCCTAGCCCTATACCCTAAATTGATCTCAAAATATCTACATATTTCATTTGAAATAAGATGAGAAAACTGAAACTGCTCCATTTTTTTATAGTAGGAAAATTAAAAATATATGCTCTTAGAGTTATCACATTTTCTCATATTTCCCAGTCCTTTTTTGCTTATTTACATTGGTATTCCTTTAATAGATTTCCTAATTTCTCTTTTATAAAATGAGAAAAGTGACTAGAACCATACTATTGTCTTAAAATTTCAATAAGTAAGCTTCTTCACTCAAAAAATAATTATTTCCTGAGACATATCATACATATGGAGTATTTTAATGTGCATAAGCATATGTTTTGCCATGGCCATCATTACCTTTACTACTAAATGTCCAGTATATGTAGTTATAGCCAAATTTCAATACAAGTCCTTTCACTCCTGCTGAGTCAGATGGCATGTATTTAGATATTGAGGGACACCAGCTGCTGTAGCTGATAAAAACTCAAGGTCTCAATGGCTTGCCACAGTTAAAGTTTTTTTCTTACTCTTGGGGTAGCATTCCAGTGCTGGTGTTTGGTGGAAGGTCTACACACAGGCCCCTTCCATGTTGAGGCTCCACGATTCTCTCAGGGCCTTAGAATCCAAGGTTTACAGGCAGCAGACAGGGAAAGCAGAGAGAACCTTATTGGGAGAGTGTAGCACACCCTTCCGACCACAGCAACAGCTCTGTTATGTGACCACACCCCCCTGCAGCTCACCATGTGTCTGGTGAAAGAGACATGGATGTTAGAGAACACGCAACCATCTTCTGTCTGTGTTTTATCCACGTGTTGGTCTTGCTCCACCACCACCTCATACAAGTCACTTAGCCATAGGTTTTACTGCATTACCTTTTACCAATAGGCTTGGCTTTTTACCATTTCCAGTGAGGAGAACATTCTCTCAACCTATTTATAATTTCAGTCTTGCGGTGTGAGTCCCATTGTTATTAAGAGAAAATTCCCTAAAACCTAAATCTTTTCGTTAGGTCAAATGCAAAACATAAGTTTTTGAAACTGCTCCCTACTTATGACATATCTGTACTTTGTTCCGGCTCTCAGAGCAAAGACAATTTATAAAGATAATTTATATCCAGTTTATTTCTCAATACTTTCCTTTTTCTAGGTAGGTCTCGCCTCCTGAAGACTTTTCTTGCTTCATTTCTGCTTTTTTTTTTTTTTTTAATGTAATAGATGAATTTAGAAAGACTTTATTTTGGGGGGAAAGAGCACAGCCTTGGACTACAATAATTTTCTACAGGATGTAAATAATACCATAGCTTTTTCTAGGAAGTAGGACTAAAAAGTTTCCAAATGTCAGGTTTTTTCTTAACTACCCTGTCATTTTCATCGTGGCAATGTAAATAAATGCTTGGTGCTCTTTTACTCCTTTAATTAAAACCAGAAAGTCCATAGTTGAAACGTTTGCATTATTATGAATAACTGTAGTGATTTTTGTGATGAATTTATGTATTCACAGTTAATTCCTCAATAGCTCTGTTGAGGTTATTTGTAATATAATTTATAATATTCTGAAAGCTATCTAGGAACGTTATGTCTGATTTCTCCATCCAGTCCTTAAGGGATATGCTGTTTGTGTTGAGCCCCTAGAAAACCATATAGAAAGCTAAGAATACAAGAGTTTGTAATAAAACAAATCTTTTTCAACCTTTTCTTTCCCTTGCTGCAGTGAAACAGACCCAGGCTCTAGGCAGTGGCCAGAGTCTGACACACTCTCTGGTTCCCAGTCCCCACAATCTGTGGGCAGTGCAGCTGCAGATAGTGGTACTGAGTGCCTCTCAGACTCTGCCATGGACTTGCCTGATGTCACCCTTTCCCTTTGTGGGGGCCTCAGTGAGAATGGAGAGATTTCTAAAGGTATGTTGGGCAGTCTTGCTGACTTCACCTCCAAGAGCAACCTGGTCAAATTACTTGATTTAAAACTTAACTTTAGTCATTTCGGGGTGCTTAGGTTATTCACTAATACTGTGTGTATATCATGTATCTTCCTAAAACGTAGGACCCTTAGCCCCTCATTTAAAGTATCTCTTCTGGGGTAGCTTTGGTGAAGGGGAATGTACCTTGAAGGCTCTATTTCAGATTAAGAAGTTGAGCGTTCTGAGGCTGCCCTATTTACTGAGCAGTTAAGGGTACTCCCTGCATTGATTTTCTCATCTGTAAAGTTGTTGAAATATTTGCGGGACTGGGGCCAGGTTGTGTTCCTGGAAAGCATGGGGATTTAGACATGTGAATAAGCCCCTGAAGTAAAAAAAATAGTTGTCCATTGAGTAAATGGTCTTTATGGTCAAGGATTACTTGTCTCAGGCTTGAGAGATGTCCTCTAGGTAAAGCTGCTTATGAGTAAGAAAGGCGCTTAGTAGAGGTGATAGGATGCCTCTAGGTGTAGTGGGGCACCCATGTGTGGGTTTGTTTCTCATTCTAAACTAAATATTTTCTGAATTTAGCTGATGTCCTGTGATTGATTTTCCTCAAAAGAAACGTTTTCTTTTCATGACTAGCACCACCATTTTAGCATCATCCTTTGTCTTTTCTCCCTAACAGAAAAACTGAAGGCATGATGTAACAGATTATGTGGCTACAGCCCTTGTACTTGGACTGGGTTTTCCAGAAGTTTAACCTTTTTAGGGTCCTCAGTTGTTTATTTTGCCTCTTTGCTCTCCAATTCTTTATTCCATTTGTTTGCTTTATATTTTGCTTTGTTTCATTTTTTATAAGTTTCTCTATCTAACTCAGGCTGGCCTTGAACTCAAGATCCTTCTGCCTCAATCTTCCCAGTGTTGGGATTCAAGCAAATCTAGCTATTTGCTTTATATTTTATGAGAAATTAAGAATGTACGGTGAGAAATGATTCCTTCTACATACAAAATTAAATAAGCCACGTTTTTATAATCCTTATAAACCCTCAGTTTAAAAAAAAGGGAGGGAATGAAAAATACAAAATTCATATAACATGCAAATTTTTCTAGTTTTAAATATTGGCAATCTAGCTTGGTAGAGATTACTGGAAGAGGCAAAAAAGGCAAGTAAAAGTAAACAATATATACATACATGGAGGAATTATCCATGTGCGAGATTTCTGTGTTCACCTGTACTAGTAAAGTGCAGATTTAAGAACAGATACAAAAATTCATACAAAATCTTCATTTATTCTGCAAGAGCTTGAGATTTATTTGACAGACCCTGAGACAAATTCTGTACTTTTTTTTCTCCCAACAATTATAAATTCCTTTCGATTGTTTTTTCCTAGCATTGAATGCACTTAAAGCTGTAAGACCTCATAAATATTCCTGTTACACAGTTCTCTGTCTGTAAGGTTTTTCCTCTGAAGAGAATGGAACTTAGTTTTTATTAGCTATAATGTATGTGTGTCTGTCTGTCTTTCCCTTTGACCAAATCCATAATCTATTTTCCTGAAAGTATCTGACATGTCTCTTTCTTCTATTTGTTTGGGTTTGTTTGTTTTTCTTTTTTTTTTAACTGGTGGAAGAAGAGAAGATAGGAAAGAAGTTTATTTTTTCCAGGATAAGAAAGAAAAGTTTGATTTCTTGCCTTTGATGCCTATAAAAAACACTTTTTAAAAAGCCTTTTTTAAAAAAAAAAAACAACCTTATTTTAGGACTGGAGGCATTCAAGAGATAGAGTGCCTGGCAAGCACAAGGCTGAATTCAAACCCCAATAAAGTAAGTCCCAAAAAGGACTTATTTTATTTTAGCCTATAACATAAATATATATATAAATACATATATATGTATATACACACACATACAAATACATATATATACACACAGATATATGCATATATATGCATACATACGAATGTATATTTTGGACAATACTGGACTTTGTGCTTGCTAAATGACCCCTCTACCACTTGAGTCATACCCCTAGCCCTTAGCCCATAATTCTTGAAGTGCAAAAAATATTGTGATAATCTCTTATAGGGATTTATGTAACCTCTAACCAAATTGATCATTACTATATTACTTTGCAGAAAAATTCATGGAGCATATCATTACTTATCATGAATTTGCAGAAAACCCTGGACTTATAGACAATCCTAACCTTGTAATACGGATATATAACCGGTAAATGCTCTTGCTTTGATCATTGTTTTTTGGGTTTTTTTTTTTTTGTTTTTTTTTTTTTTTACAATGTGCTGTTTTTAACTGTCAATCTTTCCTTGCTATAAAATTTGTCATCTCTTATAAATGAGTGACTTTAAGTGAAAGTGAGGCTTCAACTTAATTTTTTAAGTAAGGCATTGAAATACTGTTATTCTGTTACAGATTTTACTTCTTCTCTACTCAGAGTAGCTTGACTTAAAGCAAAGATTTTTTGTGTGACAAAAATTTAGTTGGCCTTTTTTATTATTATCATTATTATTATTATTATTGAAAACCATCAGTTTGCTATGTTATCTTTACTTCTCCTATAGTCCTCACTCCCATCCATCCATGCTACACTTCTCTCTCATGCTGTCTCTGAAATGGTTATGAACAATTTTTGTTTCTCACAGTTACTATAACTGGGCTCTGGCTGCTCCCATGATCCTTAGCTTGCAAGTATTCCAGAAGAGTTTGCCTAAAGTGAGTAATCCACATTTGAGGCCTTGAAAGTATCTACAGTACGTATATAGTTCTTAGCAAAATTCTGCATGTATTTATGAAGTGGGTAGTATTCAACATTTTATTTCAGCTTAGTACTTAAGAGATCCAAATTGCTGTGTCTAATAAAATTACCTCATACCAAAAATCTAGGAAATAGCTGGACTGCTACTTTTCCTCTCATTTTTATTAAATACTTTTACTAGTTTCTGATTATATAAAAATTTGGATTTAAGATGCGAAGGCTGGGAGTGTAGCTCTGTTGGTAAAGTGCTTTCCTGGCATGCGTGAGGACCTGGGTTCAGGACCCTACCACACACACAAAAAAAGTCCAGAGATTTTACTAATTATAAAATGGAACAAATGAAAAAAAAAAGTTTTTCTTATCATTAATATGGAAAGAAGCAGCAAGAAACTAGTGGCATGGCCTATAGAAGCCTGATATCAGTGTGGTTGGGTCAGACTGTGGCTGAGATACCATCTGTGTTTTTAATCTGTCCGCCAAGAAGACATCTTCAGCCTAGTCAGTCCTCTTATCATGAGAACCTGGTGTTCCAAAGAACTAGGAAATGAAAACTGCCTGCCCTAAGATTTATGTTGCTAGCCCATCAGGGGTTTGGGAAGTGTGCAAGTATCACTTGTGTCTCATAAATAAGTCACTGTCTTGCAGGCTAATTAAAGTGAGGAGTTGTGTGCTTTACAACCAATAGGCTACCCATACTGACCCATTGATTGTTTCTAGGCCACAGTTGAGTCCTGGGTCAAAGACAAGATGCCAAAGAAATCTGGTCGCTGGTGGTTTTGGCGTAAGAGAGAAAGCATGACCAAGCAGGTAACAGACCTAGAGGTAATCATTTCCATGGGCTGAAAAAAAGTGAATCATTTTATTCAAAAACCCTTTTGTCATGCACAAGAAAGTGGACTTTATAATGCTGTTTTTCAGTGATAGTAGTTACCATTTTGAGCAGTTGATTACGTGCAGATGCTGTGCTAGGTGTTTTCATATGTTACCTCTGATACCAGCAATGTTTAAATTGCCATTTTATGGAAAGGAAGCTTGTGCACAAAGAGGTGATGTAACTCCATGAGATCACATAACTAGTAAGGGATAGAGCTCGGACTAACATTGAGTCTGACTCCAGAGCCTGGGCTCTTTTTTCTTCCCTATATTACCATTCAGCTGTAAGCAAAAATTTATAATCTTGCACAACCACACATGCAAACAACCAGAATCTGTTCATTTAACAAAGTGCCAGTAGAGCAGGTTTATCCAGAGAACAAAAGTTCACAAGTAGTAGATCAAGTGTTTGTTTACTAAAGCCTTCTGACAAACAGAGCTCTGGGAGTTTTGCTGATGTATTTCAAATACCAAATTAGTCCTGCCAGAACCAGGTTTCTTGTCCACATCATCGTGGTCTCCTCCTTCCTGCCCTTATGCAGGTGCTGAGCAACTCCCAGGAGGAAAAGGCAGAATTGGTCACATCTGTTGTGACATCTCTGTGTGTCTGCCAGGGTCCTGACCACTTTAGGCCAGTTACAATTTATGACTTGAAATAGTGCTATTTTAAAATTTCTTTATTTCTGGCTCCGTAGGGACAGCTTTTTGCATGGCAGCAAATGACATCTGTCTCAGATTGTCTTTTGGCTCAAAGTAGAAAAAGTCTATTTCTTGACAGTTTATATGTTGCAGGTTCAGAAGGTTTTGCTCTTTTCTAGAGAGGGCTGCTAGTGAGTTTTGGCTTTTATGTAGGGAAAACATTGCACATTGCCATTATCCTGTTTCTGTTTAGCTACCAGAGGCCAAGGAGGGAAAATCTGAGGTGCTGCCAACCAGTGACCTACAGTCAAGCTCTAAGGAGCCAGCTAGCACCAGGTGAGGTGCCCTATCCTTGGCTCATAGCACTTGACTACTTCTGCTTGCCCATTGCATCAAAGTTGATCTTGGCAATTTTAATTTTTAGTAACAAACATTTCTCTTATGTCAGATGGATATGACATTAAGTGGCTTATTAGTGCCACTCAGCAGATGACACTGCTTTTGTTAAAAAAATATATATATAATAGTTCAGAGGAGAAAATTTATGCATCATCACTTCATAAATGCCTTGTCCCCATGATAGAATTATGGAATTGGGGCAGGAAAGGTGGTACTTGGGGAAGGGGTCTTGGGTGTGCTCAGGTCTGTGTCCCCTTGCCCCTGCTTCCTATTGAGTGCCTTGTCACTTTTGACATTTGAGTTGGCTGTCCTGGGCAGAGCTGGCTCATGCTGTGCCCCTTCTGGTTTCTGCCATCTGTTTACTTCTTCCAATCCATTTCTCTCTCCATCCCCCAACCTCTCTTACAGCAGTATAAGATTAGGAGTTTATCTTTTTGCTCTTTTTTCTTTGTAGGAATGTATAAAATAAAATCTAACTTCTTAAAATCAGTATAAAACAGTGATGTTTTCTTTCATTTCTACTTTTTGAAACATACATCCTTATCAGCAAGAGTAGGTACTCCTCTGGGCAGGACAGAAAATAACAAGTCAAAGTTAGAAAGTAACTGCATGCCAATCATGAGAAAGAGTAAGAGGGGGTGGCCTTAACAATGTACATAATTTGGGCATAAGAAACTGGATATGAAAGAATGTTACAGGAAATAACTGTTGTCATCCTAAGGATTGAGTATCTTTATTTTTTTCCTTTGTTTTCTGTGTACTTTTAGACAGGGTATCACTTTTGTAGCCTTAGCTAGCCTTAAACTTGAAATCCTCTTGCCTCCACTTTCTGAGTTTTGGTACTATCTTTATTTCTTGATCCTAAATTAAAAGCTCTTACTAATAAAACATCCTACTGCCTCTTAATAACTGATTTGATGTTAAATAGACCTGCTGAGGATGACACATCCAGTGATGAGGGATCACAGGAACTGGAAGAATCTATCAAAGCAGACCCTGTCTCCACAGAGACCCTGAGCCATGGCAGCACAACTTCGTATAAGAAGTCTCTCCGACTCTCCTCGGACCAGATCGTGAGTCTTGAGAATCCCGAAGAACTTATTTTAATAACACCCAATTCCAGCTGCACAACACAGTACACAATGTGTACAACCCCCACCCCTGCTGAGCCATTAAGACCACCCAGGGAACCTGTGACACAGGTTCCTCTCCCAGACTTGCTGCTTTAGTCTCTGGGAGTATATTGAGGAATCAGTGTTTTTAACATGCTTTCCTGTTTAATCTGACACAGCTAACCCAGCACTGAGCCACATGGTGTCTCTTGGAAGCCACAATAATAGAGAAATGACATTTTTATTTATTTCCTAACCCTTACTTTGACCTATTTTCAGTATGAAATAGCCTTCTGGGGCCCAGTAGGAGGTTGTGGCCAAAGCAGTGATCTGATAGGGGAAGAGCAAAAGTCTCAGAAACCCAAAACACTGTTCAAGCAGTGGCTTAATTGGCACCTTTGGAGCATGCTTGGTGCTGACTATGTGCTGAAGCCATAGAAACATCCTACCTCAAATTCATTAAAACCGTGAAACACTGGTTATCATTTTGTAAAATTTAAAACTGTGTTCCACACTGTCTTCTCAGCTGGTTTTCTTTATTCTTATGCTTTTTATAAAAGGCAAAACTGAAGCTCCATGATGGCCCAAATGATGTTGTATTTAGTATTACAACCCAGTATCAAGGTACCTGCCGCTGTGCAGGGACCATTTACCTGTGGAACTGGAATGACAAGATCATCATTTCTGATATCGATGGAACAATAACCAAGTAAGCTCCAGCCCATTGGGTGGAGGAAGCAGTCCTGCATCTAGAGAGAAGCATTTAGTGTGAAGTGGTGGGGAGAAGGGGGCACAGTGGAGGGCATGCTTTTTAAAACATATGCCCTAAGATGTCCTGAATGTAGTACAGACAGTCATTGTATGAATGGAAGAGACAGGTGGTCCTATACAAATGGAACATCAAAAATAACTTCTGGAAAGGTTTAGTTATTTGGTCTCCAGATTCTGATATTCAAAGAAAACAAACTGTTGAGATTAGGGAAGAGAAAATGAGGATGTGTGATGGCTCTCTTGTGACTTGTAGAAGTACCTCAGTGGATATATATTTCCAGGGCTTCCTGGTTATTGCATGAAGTTATAATGAAATAAGCTTTGTAGAGTATCCCGTCTGCTACCCTATCCAGTGTTTATTGGCAACTGACAGCCAAATGGAAAATGTTCGGCTTCATATATTTGATTCCTGATAGCTTTTCCTATTTCTGCCTTCTCAGGTCTGATGCTTTGGGGCAGATCCTTCCACAGCTGGGTAAAGACTGGACTCATCAGGGTATAGCAAAACTTTACCACTCCATCAATGAGTAGGTATTCCTTCCCCATGTCTTTTCTTTCTAGTGAACCTCAGTTTTGCTTTGATCAGAAACTATAGAAATATGTTAGGCCAGGTATGGTGGGTTACATCTGTGATCCCAGCTATGCAGGAAGCAGAGATAATAGGATCTTTGTCCAAGGCCTGCCCAGGCAAAACCTTAGTGAGACCCTGTCTTAAAAAAAACAGGCCTGGGAATAGTAGGGGCATTCCTGTAATTCTGCCTACACAGGAGACAGAGGTAGGATCGCAGTCCTAGACTAGCTATGGGCAAAAAGCAAGAGACTCTATCTGAAAAATGCAAACTAAAGCAATAAGAGCTGAGGTTGTCACTCAACTGGTAGGAAGCCCTGAGTTCAAACCCCAGTACTGCCAACAGAAAATATGTAAGTCATCAGTCCACATAATCATGTGTTTACGATCCAGACATTCCTTCTCTGCCACTGTTCATGAAGTGCAAGCTATGTGCTTGGCATTGTGTATGGGTTTTACTTGCGTTGCCATGGTATATACCATGGTATACCATACCACTTACGGCAATAGCTATAGTCATAACTACAATTTTTATAGCTAGAATTTAATAATAGGTGATTTTCATTGTTGGCTTACTTGGTATCTTCTAAATTCTATTTCATTGAATAGTACAGGCATGCATGCATACATGCAGAACAATCGTTTTCTCAGGGAATTCTGGTGACATTTGTGGGATCTTAGCACATAAAAGTTAAGTTGATTTGTCTTCAGCATTAGTTGATAATCCCAAAATACAAAATTATGAATGACAGTTACCCAGGTATAATTTTTCTCTATATCTTATAGTATGGATTGCATCCTGCAGATTGTTCTTATAAAGATCCCTGTGTCTTTCCTTCACAAGGTAGTCTCCAGGGTTTTAGTCCATTCTGGAGCTGGCTCTCACAGACTAAATGCTGCATGTATTATATCAGTACTTCTTAAATTTAGCAGAATTCCTAGTTGCATGTACCTCCGTTTTTCCCCTTACAGTGTTTTTACATGGAGGAGTGAAATCTTTGTAATCCTAATTAGTTTTCCTGCTAAGTTCAAGAATTCAATTTTCAAAGTAAATGAGAGGAATGTATTTATTTGGATGTATTAAAAGAACAGGTTTTTGGTTTAATTTTTTTTCCTTTAGCCAAAAGATATAAGCTAAACAGAATGTAGTGGGTTTTGTTTTGCTTTTTGAGGTTTTTGCTGATGGTGTTGTTGCTTGTATTTTAGAAATGGCTACAAGTTTCTGTACTGTTCTGCCCGTGCCATCGGTATGGCCGACATGACCCGTGGCTACCTGCACTGGGTCAATGACAAGGGCACAATCTTGCCCCGGGGCCCTCTGATGCTGTCCCCCAGCAGCTTGTTCTCCGCCTTCCACAGGTACCTGTCCAGCGGGCACCCTGGGCTCCTCAAGGGTGCATGGGGCCAGAATGTGGAGACCAGGCAGGTCTCGTGGTCCTTCCACCTACTGTGCAGTTTCTGTGTGTCTCTTCATTCTTTGGCTCCCTCAAAGTGCTTTAACTCACACTGTCTGTGTCAAACATGGTGAATAAAAGTTTCTCCTGTCCCAGACCCCCTTACTCAGATATTCTCAGGGATGCCAGTTCCAAAGGATTAAAGAAGTGGGGTGGTTTTGAATACTAAAATATTTTGGGGAACACATGCTAGTGAAAATTACCATTTTGAATTTGGTGATTATATTTATTTTTCCCTTAGGGAAGTGATAGAAAAGAAACCAGAGAAGTTCAAAATTGAATGTCTAAATGACATTAAGAATCTGTTTGCCCCATCCAAGCAGCCCTTCTATGCTGCCTTTGGAAACCGTCCTAACGTAAGTGTATCCTGGGTGCCTGCTAGATTATAATGAAAGTGAAATTCAGTGGAAGTTGCTTTTTAGGACATGGTTATGTTATAGTTCTAATGCCACCTCTGTTAAACAAAATGAAACAGCTGTTCTGCTCAGTGGGTTCTCACTTGATCTGTTCTGAATTTCTATACCAGTTGAGGAGGTCCTATAGGTACAGATCTGCCCCAGACTTGTATATAGAAGAACACTCTCTGTTTCCGCCACTTCAATTCCATTTCTTTAGACAGCTCTGCCTTATGCTGTAAGTGGTTCTAACCTGTGTCTTTTTATTTTTATTTTTATTTTTTTATTATTCATATGTGCATACAATACTTTGGTCATTTCTCCCCCCTCCCCCACCCCCTCCCTTACAACCCACCCCGCCCCCTCCCTCTCCCCCCAGCCCCCTCGATACCCGGAGAAACTATTTTGCTCTTATCTCTAATTTTGTTGAAGAGAGAGTATAAGCAATAATAGGAAGGAACAAGGGTTTTTCCTAGTTGAGATAAGGATAGCTATATAGGGATTGACTCACATTAATTTCCTGTGCATGTGTGTTACCTTCTAGGTTAATACTTTTTGATCTAACTTTTTCTCTAGTTCCTGGTCCCCTTCTCCTTTTGGCCTCAGTTGCTTTTAAGGTATCTGCTTTAGTTGCTCTGCATTGAGGGCATCCACCCCAGAACCACATCATGAGTGCTTCCTCTTCATTAACACTTACTTCCCTGGCCCGCCTCCCTTCCTGCAGGACTCCTGAAGGTGTTGCTTCTCATGTTCTCAAGGTCCCCTGATCTTTCTTCTTTGCTGCCCAAGTTTTGATTCCCTGTGCACACTGTTAGTTTAGCATCCATCTTTATTTGGGTTTGTTTAAAGCTTAATATCAAAATTGGCAAAATTAAACTATGCCTAGTTCATGTTTTCCATAGAAAATCTGTTTATGCAATGCTCCTAGCTTATCAGGAATCAGCGAAGTTTCTCGTAATTTCTTCTCACTGTTTTCTTCTGCAGGATGTCTATGCTTACACACAAGTTGGAGTTCCAGACTGTAGAATATTCACAGTGAACCCCAAGGGTGAATTAATACAAGAAAGGACCAAAGGAAACAAGTCATCGTAAGTGCATTCCAAGTTTTGAGCCAGCATTCTGTATGCCAGGGGCGCAGCTGGGGACAAATAGTAGTTGAGATCAAGACCAGCTCGGAGGATTAGAGCTGAATATTTTAGGGGTGTTTTCTTCTCCAGAATAGCTGTTTTAAGAGATCTCTGGTTATCCAAGATGTGTAAGAGGAAGTCTGTGTCCTGGGATGGAATTGAGGTCTGACTCAGCCTGCCTTTGGGAGGAATCTGAATAACCGGCTTCACAACCCACAGTCTTGTACCTTGTGTCCCTTCTTCTAGGTACCACAGGCTGAGTGAGCTTGTTGAACATGTGTTCCCACTTCTCAATAAGGAGCAGAATTCTGCCTTTCCATGCCCAGAGTTCAGCTCCTTTTGTTACTGGCGAGACCCAATCCCTGATGTGGACCTTGATGACTTGGCCTGAAGCAGCACCTGTGACAAAGGTGGGGCCACAGTCACTTGCCTCCAGCAGGGGAGGTGACCAACCCTCTTCCAGATGAGAACCCAGGGCTGGCAGCTGGGTGTCCACTTTCCAGAGCAGAAACATGGACCCTAAAGCTGACATTGCCACCTTCCACCTTCCTAGTCTGCTGCTCAATGTCTGGAAGGAGGAGTAATGGACTCCTGGGTTAGGGGCCTGTTCTTCACCACACGTGGGTCCTCACATGTGCTTCCTACGGAGTTGTGTGCTGGGCAGTCCTTCAATTTCATAACTTTAAAAGGAAGAAAACAGAAGCTGAAAAAAAAATGGACCAAAATATTACACAAAGTAAAGTGTTATAATTTCCACTGGGTGGTTGAAATTGTTTCTCTGTGCAACCAGGGCTTTCTCCAGAGGTTCAGGGCCCACTGAATTGCCACAGGTACAGTTAGTGATGTTGGCTAAAACCACCTGTGCATGTCTCTGCTTTGTGCTCCTCCTTTACTGCACACTGAAATGGGACAGCTGCTTGGTGTGCCAAGTTGGGCAAGCCTCCAGGGCCCATGCATCAGAGCACTGAACTTGGCTGCACCAATACGGGCTTCTTGGGAGGAAATCCCATTGGATCATCATTTTCTCATCTGTGACTGTTCCACAGTGAGAAACCTTTAAGGTTATTTCTTGAAGCTAGCCAGAAGAACAGATTATATTTGATGCAGGTCTATATTTGATATCTAGAATAATGGTGGGAGATTGGGGTTTAAAACAAAAAAGCAACTCTGTCAGAAATGTAGATACACAGCTGCATTGAGTACTGGGAATAGCCCTTTTCTCTGTCCCTTTGCCTGTTGCCTGGCTTACGTGGGTCTTTAGGTATGTTTTGGGCAGAGTTCTGAAATTCTGTGCTTCAGATTTGTCAGGGAAGCACAGTGAAGCTGGCCTGTAAGCCATTGGCCAGAAGTATGGACTTTGGTATTTGGAATCACAACTCTGATACAAAGTCTATGGAAGCCATGCAGAGGAGGAGTCATGGAGCTCCTATTGAGCAGCAGCACCTCAGCAGTGTCCCCAGCCCACCAGTCTGTCAACAGCTGGGACAATCGCATCATCTGCAGTGCAGAGGCTGCCCTGTGGGCACATGGGAGCACCCATGCATTTGCACTAAGAGAACTGTTAGACCTTCAGGGGACCTGAAATGGCTCCAGGTTATAGTCCTCCACTGGGGAGAAAGCAGGAAGTGTTCCTGAGCAGAGAGGTTGCTGCACATACAAACCTGACATGCTCAGGATGGTTTCATTTCCAAGTCTACATGCCCCTGCAGTTGTACGGGTGACCTTTTCTTGCTTTACTTTACTTCACCTAATTGATACAGAGTTGGAGATGTAGGGGGTTGTTATTTTTCCAGGTTGAAGAATTGAATGTCCCGGCCTGATTTCAGCCATTTTCCTAGTGCAGATTGATGCAGAGACAATGTTGAAACCCTTTGAACCCAATTCACAGTGGTGCAAACATTCACCCATAAATAGTTCACAAGAAGTTTATGTTAGTAGGTAGGGGAACTAAGGTTATGATTGTCTGAAGTTCTGCCCAGTTAAAGAATTGAGATTCTAATAGAGCTGTCACACAGCTGTCTTACTCCATAGATGTCATCAGCACGTCTTCTCGCCCACCTTTGATTTAGGGGAATAAAGAGACTTTGTATGCGTAACCTGAGCTTATTATTAGGACCTCTTCACTTACGTGCGGTACAGAAAATCTTAACATACATCCTCTTTAGTCCTTTTTAGGTTGTCTTTAAAGGAGTTTTTAATTAAGTGATTTGTTTCTTTTTTTTTTATGAGTTCTTTCTTTGGACACACAGGCCTTCTCAGAAGGTCCAGCTTATAATCTGGGTCTCCCAGCCCATGTTGAAGGTCGCTGGTCTTTCTGTCCCAGTGTCCATTAGCCCTAGACTTTGTCGCTGCAGATTGATCCAGTGGGTACTTAGGCTAATGAATGTCTTTCCTTGTTTAAAGGAGTCCTTGCTAGAAAGTAGATCATTACTATTGCTGTAGTGTTACGGAAGTATTAAGTTTGTGCTGAAAATCCATTGCCATTTGGTACAAATGACATTTGTTCTTTCTGTGAAAGAGAGATGCCCTTGAGTGTGTTTACACACAAACCTTTAGGATGGCAGGTTGAAGCATCAGCCTCTCACTGTCTTCAGTGATGGGTGATGTTGCAGGGACATTGCAGGCAGATGGGCTCTTCTAAGTCATTCTGTCAGTTGCTCCATTAGTGGAAAAGCCCGTTTCCCTCCTTCCAGTTCAATCTAACTTTAGCATTTGCTTTGCTGTCATGTGTTGAAGCTTGTACTGCTGTGGAAGTTGGCTTTTGCTCTTTGTCAGGCTGTATGAGATACATGTGAGGACCTAAAGCCTGCAACCTTAGCCCCATGCTTCACTGTGTAAAGACATCTGCATAGTTCTCAATTGGAAAAGGAAAAAATCCTAATGTGATGTCCTAAAACAAAAGCTGCTAAAAAGAAAAATATCATGGGGAGAACAAGCAAGGAACAGAGCTAAGTGGCTGGAAAGTGCTTCTGCCCTGAGCATCCCACTTGCCTGTTGGTCTGCATGACATTCTATAGCTGCCCTGGAAGGTGCAGCAAGACCTTTGAGAGAAGAAACGGTTAAGAATGTAAGCACTTTTTTTTTTCTTTTTGCAAATTGATGGAACCGATTTTTCCAGGGAGTTTTACCTCTTCAAGTATCCTCATATTTACTCTGGGGGGCCTTGTTTCCCCATGTCTTAGAGCATGCTGGGTTTTCTTTAAAACTGGTTAAAGTAAGCATTTTTTCCAGGTGAAAACTTTTTTGTTTTGATTTGAAGGTAAGAAAGGGAGGGGGCACTTTGCTCTTTTAATTTAATAATTATGTTCAGCTGATGACAAAGTATTTGATTATTAGAATGCAATGTCACTAATAAGTTTTAAGTTGTCAGAAATTAATTGTAAACATCAGTACAATACTTAGTCATGGTAAAGACGTCTTCAAATGAATGGCTTATTTTGGTGCAGTGTTTGATGTCCAAAACAAAATGTTACAATAATAAACAAACATAAACTGAGTGTGTTAGACTTTTTCTTCCAAGGAACATTTGAACCATCTTCTATGTACTCTTGCCAGAAATTGAATATTTCCATAAATTAGCATTTTGATCTTTGCTGACACAAATTTGTCTACGAAGAGGGACCTGTTACTGGTGTTTTACTAATTTTAAAACCTAATTTCAAAAGTAAAGCTACACCCACAGAAACTAACCTCTCTTGCTTTGTAGGTTCTGCCAGGAAATGATTCACTTATACAAATGTAATTTCTCTTAATCTGGCTGGTGGTCACATCAGCCCCTCAGAGTCACCTGGGAGTCCTTCTCAGAGTCTCAATACACCACCTTTCATTAAACCCTTCTTTGAGGTGTGTGCCACTAAACAGTCCTAATGTTTTCAGAACCAATGTGATCTTTCATCAAACCCTTAAGTTCCACAGATGATCTATATAAGTACCCTTTCATCCTCTCAGACCACTGGGCAGCACACGCTGCACATGTTGCATCACAAGTCCCTCCATTACAGTGAACTTTCTACCATGGGGAAGTTTTGCATTTTACCCTTCCCCTTGATGAGAAAGTGAAGTGACAGAAACCTTGGGTCTTTGTAGATAGGAGTCATACAGGGAGTTGATCATAAAGGAAATGGGTTTTTGTTTTGTTTTTTTGGTTTTTTTTAACCCAGAACAGCTTCAGAGAGGTAGTGGACATCTGTTCCTGAGCTTGGAGGACCTGACTCCATTCCTTTGGTGACACATGCACCCCTAGAAGTTTGCATATGTCCTTTTTTCTTTCCCATCTGTAGGATGGTATAAGGAAAACAGATGCATGTTTAGAAAGCCGATGTGCGTATGGACAAAGCCATGTTTTAGGATGTGGACTTGGATATTTCTGTAAATACTCCTTTCCTTTCAAGCTGCAAATAATGTGTGGCAAACAGTCTGAAAGGATAGAGTACTTGATAAAGCTAGAGACGAGTGCTAATCTGGAATCACTGACAATGGAACTTGCGTCAATTTTCATTCTTAGTAGTTATTTTTAATCATATAAATGAAGCCATTTGGTAGTGTTACATGTGGGAGGCAAAATGCCCCAGTCCTATCTGTTTAATCTTTAGAAGTACTGTTGTCTCAGCAATTAACTCATAGATATCAGAAGTTGTAATCTTAAATTAAAGTGGCCAAAAAACACATGAAAAAATGTTCACCATCTCTAGCAATAAAGGAAATGCAAATTAAAACCACGCTAAGATTCCACCTCACCCCTGTTAGAATAGCCATCATTAGCAACATCACCACCAACAGGTGTTGGCGAGGATTCGGGGGAAAAAGGAACCCTCTTACACTGCTGGAGGGAATGAATGTAAACTAGTACAACCGCTCTGGAAAAAAATTTGGAGGCTACTTAAAAAGCTAACCATTGATCTACCATTTGATCCAGCAAGACCACTCTTGGGGATATACCCAAAAGACTGTGACACAGGTTACTCCTGAGGCACCTGCACACCCATGTTTATTGCAGCACTATTCACAATAGCCAAGTTACGGAAACAGTCAAGATGCCCCACTACTGACGAATGGATCAAGAGAATGTGGTATCTATACACAATGGAATTTTATGCAGCCATGAAGAAGAATGAAATGTTATCATTCGCTGGTAAATGGATGGAATTGGAGAACATCATTCTGAGTGAGGTTAGCCTGGCCCAAAAGACCAAAAATCGTATATTCTCCCTCATATGTGGACATTAGATCAAGGGCAAACACAACAAGGGGATTGGACTTTGAGCACATGATAAAAGCGAGAGCACACAAGGGAGATGTGAGGATAGGTAAGACACCTAAAAAATTAGCATTTGTTGCCCTCAACGCAGAGAAACTAAAGCAGATACCTTAAAGCAACTGAGGCCAACAAGAGAAGGGGACCAGGAACTAGAGAAAAGGTTAGATCAAAAAGAATTAACCTAGAAGGTAACACACATGCACAGGAAATTAATGTGAGTCAACTCCCTGTATAGCTATTCTTATCTCAACCAGCAAAAACCCTTGTTCCTTCCTATTGTTGCTTACAGTCTCTCTTCAACAAAATTAGAGATAAGGGCAAAATAGTTTCTGCCAGTATCGAGGGGGTGGGGGGGAGAGAGGGGACAGGGTGGTAAGGGAGGGGGTGGGGGCAGGGGGGAGAAATGACCCAAGCATTGTATGCACATATGAACAATAAATAAAAAGTTGTTATCTTAGCCTAGTGTGGTATACACACCAGTAGTTGCAGCTACTTGGGAGGCAGAGACCAGGGGAGCATTTAAGCCCAGGGCTTCAGAGCCAGCAGTATTGGGGTTTGAATCGGGACCTTGTTCTTGCTAGGTAGGCACTGTACTACTTTAAGCTAGGTCCCCAGCCCTTAAAAAAGAAATTTTTAAGTTGTAACCTGAGTAAGTCTCCTCTGTACCTCTGACTCAGGTACACAAATTGAGGGGTGTGTTGACTTGAAGGGAATGCTCTGAAGCCCCTGCAACCCTTAAGCCTGGCTGACCCTGTTATTTTCCATCTGTAGCTTGCAATAAACTCTGGCTCCTCCTGTCATCATGTTTACTATTTTGTCTTTCTTGGATAGAGTCAGAATGCATTGAGCATAGAGTAGAAAATACAGTGGCTGACTGGCTTCTGTCTGGTCCCTGCCTTTCCAACCATTGAGCATTTGTCCCCCTTTGTCATTGAGTAAGGTCTTTAAAATGAGTGTGGGGGAAGAGGGTGAAAGCTCATGAATGTGCCAATTGGGTTTTCCTGAAAACACTGCTGTCATGGGTTTTTTTTTCCATGACTCATTTCTAGGACAGCCAAGGACACTTAGATGGCTACCTTAGCCAATTCCTCAGCTGTAGAAACCAGGGATGAGAATCCTAATCTCCCCTTCCTGAACAGAGGTTTAATATCTCATGCCAGCTTGAGAGGTACAAGCCAAGGACACTAAAGCTTGATTCTCCCATTTTGATTGTCCCTGGGGCCTTGGAGTTCCCTTACCTTAGTGGTGCTTGGTTAATAGGTTTTCCCAATTTGGTTAGCAAAGCCACCTTGTATTGAGGGTCCTGTGTGTCTGTTTCTGGGGTTGTTGAAAGATAACCATGCCTCAGCCTCTTAGAACAGAGAGCACTCTCTCTGGGAAGATGCCTTCTCAGATGATCTCAGCCTCCAGCCAGCCATGTTTTATGTTGGCCCTCTTGTTGCTTAGAAACCTGAGTTCGTAAAACTGTGTCTGTGAGTGAGCTAAGTAGTGGAGCAATGAGGTTAAGTCTCATTAGCCTGAGACCAGATCTGCTAATTAGACTTGAGTTTTCAGCCTCCCCTGGAGGATCCCCTCCTGCAGCTTTGTGTGAGATGGGGAGAGGTAACCTCCAAGCACATCTAGTCTATGTTTACAAGTCAGAAGCAAAACCTAAGTGCACAGCCTGGATGTTGACTGGTAACGGTTTTGTAGTTGATTAGTTTATGCAAGATTACTTTCTACAGCCATTTTTTTAAAGTCAGTTACTTTTGTACAGTTTGGTTTTCAGTAATAATGCCCAATCACAAAGCACCAGACGTAAGTAACTTAAAGTGGTTTAATATCTTCATTGAAACTCCCTGTCTTTGCACTTATATTGTACATGTCATTTAAGGAGCCCAACAATCTTCATAGTCTTTGTTGCAGCCCACTTTGTAGTGGTGCCAAGGCCCAGGTGAGCAGGGATGAGTCCAGGCAGCAATGGTGAGCCACGCATAAAACAACCCAAACTGTAAACTCTGGAACCCTGTGTGTGGCTATGGGCCACCTCAGCACTTCAGTGTTTAAACTTTTTTCCTGCTGGGTAAGGAGAGACAATGGCTGCAGTATTGCTTTCCAGTGAAGACCAACTGTGGGTGACCACGTTAGCCAATTGCTCTTCCTCTCCCATCAGCAGCAGGACACGGTCCTATGGCCAGCCCTATGGGGAAGCAGTGTGAGGCTCCACAGGTAACACAGGGTAGGCCCAGCCCAGGAACTGCAAACGGAGCTGCAGGCTGGGAAGATGTGAGAGAGGAGCCAGCTTCCAGGCAAGAGGGCTTTCTAGGTCTTCCAGTTGCCCAGTTGGAGTGGCCACGTGAACGATGGTCAACTCCTCCCTGGTGCCTGGAGACTATAAGGGGTGGTGGCCTCAATAAGGCCTTTATCTGGGGGGCAGGTGGAGGAGTTGATGCAGAAAACTAGATCAGTGCTCCAGTTACATAAATTGAATATATTAAAGCTTTGGAGTTTTTACAGTCCTCCCTCCCCTTACTGTTCACCCTAGAGATGGGAAAGGAAAGGATATAAGAAAACCCCACTAAAGGTGGAGTACATTTCATCAAAGTCCGTGTGAGCCAGCCTCCCCCCAGTCACCACAACGTTGACCCCATCTCCCGCCTTCAAATGCACAATGAGGTGGAATGCCCCTGGGCCTCCACAAGTGTGCACAGCCCCAGGGGGATGGTGGTACTCCAGGAACTCTCTCCTATACCCGGCGGTGTGCAGTTGGGCCACACTGGCATTAGAGACAGACAGGACTGCTTCCACATAGGCATCTCTCTCGGGAGTGAGGGTGGCTGTGATCAGGTAGCGCCCATCATATGGGGCGGTGAAGATCCCTAGAAGAAGGAAGACAGATGAGTGAACTTCTCCAACACCTTCAACACCCTGGCAAGTGGCACTGCCTGGTCCTGCCCGTTTTAGCACTCAAAGTCCTGTATGGAATGGTTGGTCACCATGCTCCGAGAAGGTGGCCTCTGTCTTATGTTGCACCCATGCTGTGCCTCAGACCACCAAGACTCACACTGATGTGTTCCTCATTGCCTGATCCAAATGTGTGACATCAAGCAGGGAGTGAGTAATGATGCAACTTGCCTAGACACAGCAGCAGCCCTACTGGAACAACACTCAGTCCACTAACATTCCTGCCACTGGGTTCACCAGGTCTTTACTGCTGCCAGGTGCATGGTATATGCTTCCTGAGAACTTGGGATCAAGGCCCAGCTCTGGTTGCCTCTCACCCTAACCTAAGGGTTGATGGGAAAGAAGCCTGGGTGCATCTCTTCCCTCACTGAGAGCACCCAAAGGCCTTCCCACACTTTTCAATATCCAGGAGATAGGACCAAACACACATGGAACCAAATAACCACAGCTAGCCATGCTAGCCCTCATTGAAGGGCCAGTCTCCCGTATACAACTGCCATCCACTTAAACAATGACCCACGTGGTCTGGGCAGTGGCTGGAGGTGAGGAAGAGGCAGGAAGATGGCCCAGTGGGTAAAGAGTCAATTCATAGCAAATACTGGCAGGAATAGCCACCACCTCTGGTGTCTGGAGGGAGAAGGGTGCTGGACTTTGACCCCTGACTGCAAGCAAGCACCAATGGGAAGTAGAGGACCCATGGGCTAAAAAGGGACAAATCTAAGGGGCTATGGTTTCAACTTGCCCTGAAAAATAGAAAAGGCCAGCCACCTAGCTCCTTCCCTGACTTTAGGGCCCCAGTTCACTAGGCATGACTTTGACTTGGCTCAGTCTGACCGGGACAAAGCCTCACCCAAGTTCACCCGGAACTTCCTTTTACCCATCTGCTTATGTGAGACCAGTTCCGAGAATGACAATTATGTAGGTTCCTGGTCAGTTCACAAAGACCACCTCACCTGTGAGAGTAAACAGGCTGTCCCCACAAGAAGGCAGCCTGAAGTGGCCTCGTCCTCAAAAGACCCCAGCAGTTCCGAGCAGTGGCTTGTAGGGCCCAGGAGAAAGCCACCTTCTCTGCCCCATTCTGCCTCAGAGCCTCTGGGAGTGGATTAAAAAGATGGCTGTTTTGCTCCAAACAGCATAGAGTACCCATAACTTTCTCCAAGGTCTTCAGGTGACTTAAAAGCCCAGTGACATTTCAGACCTGGAAACAATGCAGGTGCTGCAGACAGGCTCCAAAGTATACAATTGAAGGCTATTCCAGAGCACCAGCCCCCACACATGAGGCTCAGACCTTCTTTAACTCTCTTCATCATAAACGCAAGATTCTGGAGGGAGGATCTGGCTGGCCACGTCCCCAGGTAGTAGGGCAAATATGGGAAAAGGTATTTGGTGGCTGCTACAGGACAGCTGGAAGGGAGGTGGCCAGGATATCACAGGCCACAGCTGGCAGTCTTTTTAACAAACAACCGTTAAAAAAAAGGAACAGCCTTCCACTGGTGAGTGCCAAGGCCTAGTGTGCTGATCTCATGACTAGAAAATATGGCTGCCCTCACACCCCCATACAGCCTGCATGCTAGACTTGCTTTGCAAAAATCCACGACCCGTGCCAAGGCTGGGGCATCTTCTCTAGAGCTCTCAGACTCCCCAGCCCCACCTGCATTTGGGTGAAAAGAGACCACCATGACCTCCAAAAACTCACCTGTGTTAGGGTTGTAAACGTCGCCATCATTTACTAGCACCTTGTTAAAGAGGACGACACCCCCATCACTGGGAAAAGGCTTCTGTGTAAGCCCAGCAGAAAAAGACACCAGGGCAGGCATTGGAGTTCCTAGAATAGAGAAAGGATGTGACCATAGGGATAGGTTTCTGGGTGGGTCTATCTGGAGCAGGGATGGTGTCAGGGCCTGGAAATCAGGCCCACATGTCAGGCCATTTTATTTCACCTGAAAGTGGCAAGGCATAACTGGATACAAACTATACCTCCTGCCCAAGGGCCAGCAGTCAGGATAGCTGAGGAAGCTGGGGAATTGGACAGGCTCTTGGCAGGAGTGTCAGAGTGAGTGCATGTGAGAGGTTGTGTGTGCCTGGGTGGGACTGCATGGTGGGAGGCCAGGGCAGGTGCACAAAGGGAATCATCCAGGGAGCTGCTTCCTTACTGATGAGCCAATAAAACTCAGACCCTGGGGAAGCTCATCGGGACCACACAGGACATACGCCCACCCAGGGAAAACTATGAGCTGGGTGATGCAGAAGGGAAAATTCCTTGTTTTGGGCCCGCCTCTGAGCCTCTCTGGGGATTCAGTCGACTGCAGTCAGCAAAGGCCTATCCCTCCACTGGTGGGCACAGAAGGCCAGGTCCAGACTCCACGCAGGTGGATGGAGGTGGCAGGGAGCACAGGGTGGGGCAGAAGCCAAGGAGAACCATCTTCCTGCCCTGCTCTCCAGGAAGACATACCTGGGAGCACTACAGGAGGTGATTTGGGGTAGCCTGAAAAACAAGAGAATGGAATGTCAAGATTCTAAAGAGTAACTCAGTTTTCTTAACCCCTTCTGTCATGCTCAAATTAGGTTTCCATTACTTAAAGACAAAAAGCAAGGACATGCACTGTAAGCTGTGTTCCTAGAAAGGAGACATATTGTACCCTTTCTCACTGTGTCCTCACTAGACCACTTATAGAGGCTTGGGACCAGGCCAGGGAGAAGTCTGCAGACTGAGTCAGACTCACTCATGCCAACAAGCATGTTTGCCCTGTTAAGGGTGTGTTTCATTTATTCAGACTGCCTTCAGCTGGACCCCATGCAGGATTTGTGGACAGAATCATTACATGTGGGGCGGATGAATGCAACAGAATATAAGCATCCATGAAACAAAACTAACAGAAGACAAAGTTCTTTTTGGGCAGAATTGCGGTTTTGAACTCAGGACCTCAACCACTTGAGCCACACCTCCAGCTGTCATTTTAGAAAAGGCAGCTGTGATCACTGCAGCTCCTGTGGCCAAGAAGGAACAGGAGAAGGAAAGCTGCTAAGAGAAAATGTGTCTGTCCTTGTCTCTCCAGCAGTCCCCAACTTGCCAGGCAGCCACAGTGCTTCATGGATCAAGGCTGCAGGAGGCTGTCACTGGTAGGGACCAATCTTCCAGTCCTGCCAGTGACTAGGTGCCCCTGAAGTTCAGACAGGTCTGACTCCAGCAGACTGGTTTGCATTGCCCTCTGACAACTGACATGATGGCCCTGGTGGGGTCATTTTTCCACCTGTTTACATCTGAGCCCCAAGGTGCAGATTCCTCATGTGTAAATCAGAGCCAACACTGGCCCCCCAGTGCTGTCAGGAAGGCTCCATGGGACAGACACAGTCCCTGGCACATGGGAAGCAGCCAAAATGCTGGATCCTTTTTCCTTCTCCCTCATCCCACATGGGACACTTCCTACCCAGACTCTCAACCAGGCTTGTCTCCTTCATCCTCACCAAGACCCCTGAGGTCTTAAAGAGGTCAGGACCCTCAGCGGCCATCCCAGGACTGGCACTGACGCAGCCCTCTTGCCTGACCACTCTGCTCTGCACCTACCTTTGCTCCTAACAGTTCCCAATGGGCTTTCCTTCCCAGTACCCTTCCTGCTAGGAAGGTCAAGAAACTGCCCATCTGCACACTTACCCCACCAGGCTATTACATTTCTAAGTATTATTTCTTCTGCTACCCTGGGGTGCCTCAGTGTTGATTTGCTCTTAGATCAGCAAAAATTGGTTCCTCAGCACCCTTGGAAGCTGTCTGAGGGTGGGGCTCTGGACCCACAACGCCCCTGCAACACAGCAAAGGCACGATGTCTCTCCTGTGGCTTCTCCACCTGGGCTTACCTGGTGCACCTGCGTAGCCTTCAGCACTGGGGATGGGCGCCTGCCCCATCTGGCCATCCACTCCCTGGGGCAGGCCCCTGCCTGACATGCCCATCCTCCCTGGAGGCCCAGCCTCTCCAGTCTCCATGAGGACCCCTGTGGAGCCAGGCAAGGCTAGCCCTGGCCTGCCAGGCAGGGGTAGAGGCTGCTGGGGTCTCTGGGGCAGCACAGGCCACTGGCCTGTGTGCAGCCGGTGCACAGGGTCCTTGGGTGGCGGATGTGGAGGGGACGGCCTGGGCTGGGGCGGCTCGGTGGGCGCCTCCCCTGTGGAGGGCTGGGCTGGCAACTGAGGGGTCTTCCTGGCCGGGGGCTGGGGTACTTCTGAGGGCTCCTCCGCTGTGCAGTGGGAAAGCAGAGAGAAGTCCACGGTTAACACGTCTCCAGGCCACTGCTCAGTCACAGGTTCCCCACTTACCAAGAGCAGTGTTTTCCTTAGCAGCCAAGTGACTTCTGCACCAGGACTTAAACATCAGCACCACAGCTTGGGGACAGCCTGCCTTGCATTTTTGGGGGTGGGGATGGGGTGATCAGATTTTGAATTCAGGGCCCTGCACTTGCTAGGCAGTTGATCTATCACTTGACCCATGCCCCTAGCCACTGAACACATTTTTTTCAGTGGTGGGAATCAAATCCAGAGCCTTGAAATGCTAGGCAAGCACTGTATCACTGAGCTGCATTCCCAGCTACCTGGCATCTTCTGAAGCAGCTATGGTCAAGCCACCCTTAGGTCACCCAAGTTGCAGCTGGGACCCCCTGCCGATGGCAAGAGGATTTCATCCTTGCTTTCTGCAGAGATGGAGGCAGTATAGTTCTGGCTCTAGCACCCTAAGCATCTTGATTTCACTTGCATGCTCACACCAGAGGAGTGATGCCATTAACCAGCACACAGCCGAGCACTGCTGCCTATTCATCTACCCACACTCTTCAGGTTTTTTTTGGTGGTGGTAGTGGTGGGGTGTGCTGGGGTTTGAACTCAGGACCTAGAGCTTGCTAGGCAGGCTCTCTAGCACTTGAGCCATGCCCCCCAGCTCTCCCACACCCTTCAGATTATCAGCAAGGGAATTTCCAAGAGGAAGCTCCTGATTCAAGGTTCTCTGCCTGTTGGAGGAGGTAGTCACTGTGACTCAGCCAGAAACTGCTGCCCTGTCTCTCCTCTGAACACGTTCCTTGAATTCGAGTTCCTGGAACTGGCCTTCCAGCCAGCGCTTCCTGAACGCACACGGGGCATCTAAAATTTACCAGGTGTGGGCAAAGTATCACTTGCAAAAAAGGACAGCCCCCTCCTCAGTTGGCCTGGTGCCTGCAATCCCCAAGGGTCCAGAGCTATACAGTTACAATCTAATATCAACAAGTGCATTTGGCCCAGAGATTTGCTAAAGCAAATACAGCAGGTCAAATACATGCTCCCCTTCCACCACAGAGCCAGGTGGCAGGACCACCCACAAAGGTTATTTCTAAAAAAATTTTTTTAATTATAAAAAAACAACTTTTCTAGCCAGTATTTGATGAGAGAAACCCTACAGAAAAATGTTTAGGATGTCTGTCTCAACTCTCCCAAGGATGGTACCAAGCTAATTCCACACCAGATACAGAAAAGAATCCAGGTGTGATGGATACAGCACTTGGGAGGCCAAGGCAGGACCACGAGTTCCAGGCAAGCCTGAGCTACAGACTTCAGTCCGAGTGGTTAATTCATTCCAGACAATGGAATGGCACCAGGCCTTAATTCCCTTCAGAATCCTGAGGGATTGCAGACATGGGGCACCTGCCCCAGTGGACGGGAAACACTTAAGTCAAAGTCTGTACACCGAGTAAGCGGCTCACTGCCCCTTCCCCTGCTCAGCTGCGGGACACTTGCATACACCTCTGGTCAGAGGTAGAAATCTTCAAACTGACCCTAGAGTGAAGTTCACAGTTAAGACACCATCTAGGATCTCTGTGAGATGTGAGCCAAAGTCAAGATCACCTGACAAGTGAGGAAAGTTGCCAATATGAAAGAGACCAAAACAAGCCATCCAAACAGCTAATGAAAAGCAATTCTAATATTTTGAGACCCCATCTCAAAAATTTTTTTAAATTTTAAAACTTTTTTTTAAAACTTAAAAAACTAAATTCTCCCAAAATTAATGAACCAATAAAGAAATGGGCAAGTGAACTAAACAGAACTCTCTCAAAAGAAGAAATTCAAATGGCCAAAAAACACAGGAAAAAATGCTCACCATCTCTAGCAGTAAAGGAAATGCAAATTAAAACCACGCTAAGATTCCACCTCACCCCTGTTAGAATAGCCATCATCAGCAACACCACCAACAACAGGTGTTGGCGAGGATGTGGGGAAAAAGGAACCCTCTTACACTGTTGGTGGGAATGTAGACTAGTACAACCACTCCGGAAAAAAATTTGGAGGCTACTTATAAAGCTGGACATCGATCTACCATTTGATCCAGCAATACCACTCTTGGGGATATACCCAAAAGACTTACTCCAGAGGCACCTGCACATCCATGTTTATTTAGGCATTATTCACAATAGCCAAGTTATGGAAACAGCCAAGATGCCCCAGCACTGACGAATGGATTAAGAAAATGTGGTATCTATACACAATGGAATTTTATGCAGCCATGAAGAAGAACGAAATGTTATCATTCGCTGGTAAATGGATGGAATTGGAGAACATCATTCTGAGTGAGGTTAGCCTGGCCCAAAAGACCAAAAATCGTATGTTCTCCCTCATATGTGGACATTAGATCAAGGGCAAACACAACAAAGGGATTGGACTATGAGCACATGATAAAAGCGAGAGCACACAAGGAAGGGGTGAGGATAGGTAAGACACCTAAAAAACTAGCTAGCATTTGTTGCCCTTAACGCAGAGAAACTAAAGCAGATACCTTAAAGCAACTGAGGCCAATAGGAAAAGGGGAACAGGTACTAGAGAAAAGGTTAGATCAAAAAGAATTAACCTAGAAGGTAACACCCACGCACAGGAAATCAATGTGAGTCAATGCCCTGTATAGCTATCCTTATCTCAACCAGCAAAACCCTTTGTTCCTTCCTATTATTGCTTATACTCTCTCTACAACAAAATTAGAAATAAGGGCAAAATAGTTTCTTCTGGGTATTGAGGGGGGGGGAGAAGGAGGGGGCGGAGTGGGTGGTAAGGGAGGGGGTGGGGGCAGGGGGGAGAAATGAACCAAGCCTTGTATGCACATATGAATAATAAAAGGAAAAAAATGTGTATAATGCAAGAGAAAAAAAAATTTTTTAAACTTTTCTATTATGGTGTGCCCTTGTGCTTGCTAGGCAGGTTTTCTACCACCATGTCCCCAGTTCTTATTTTTAGGTTATTTTTCAGGTAAGGTCTTACATTTTAGTCTAAGACTGGCCTCAGATCGTGATCCTCCTACCTGTAGCCTCCCATGTATCTGGGACTACAGGTGCATACCACCACACATAGCTTATTTGTGAGATGGGTTCTTGCTAACTTTATGCCCAATCTCTCCAGTAGCTGGGATTTAGCCACACCTGCCTAAAAGAAAGTTTTCTTTGAAAGCTACTGGAAAATGTGCTCCTTTGAAACAAGGCAGACAGAAAAAAAGAGGTCTTACACAGGAGAGATGTTCAAGGTGTTTCTAGGATAATAGCAAAGGAAGGACAGACAGAAAGCCTTACAGCAAATCTACAGAATAACCAGTCAAGATTGAATCAGGAAGAGAAAGACTTCCAGAAGGGAAGTCACTAATTTTTAAGAAATGGAATGGAAAAATTATCTGATTCATTTTATGGTGTAGAAAATTGAATTGAGAGGCTGTTGAAAGCAGGAAGAATCAAAAAATATATACATAAACCCTAAGCAATAATAACACACTGCTACTAATTGAGAGAGAAACAGAAAGAAAAGTACCATCCCTGTAGAAATCCATATAGCATAAATACCGCGTACTGGTTTATTGTGGTACAACTACTTTGTTTGCTGGTAGAGGGAAGCCAATACACAAGTTCTAAAGCTAATGAACCAAAAAGGGAACCACTGGAAAAGAGACCCACGCTGCCTCTGGGGAGTATGGAGGGGATGGAGGAGGCAATGGAGTTGATTTCTATTAGAAACTTCCCAGTGCTATTTATTTTTATGAAATTTAACTTGCAGAGGACGCTCAGCAGGGCGTGCTCAGGTCTGTTCCTTGTCTTTTTCTTTCCTCCTCCTCTCTTGCTATCGTCCCAGGCGCCTAGGTGAGCGTTGAGCCACAACCTCCCTTCTTTTCTTGGACTTGCTCCAGCCCATGTCAGGCCTCTCTTCTCAGTCTCTCCTTCTTCCCCAATGGTGGGAGGAGCCTCCCACCCTAACCCTAACCTTTTAGCCCCAGTGTGTATCTCCATACAAACTTTAAAAGTAAGAGGTACTTTTCCTGGGTTCTGCAGCCCTCAGTGAGTTACAGTTGCAAGTGCAGACCCTCAAACCATGCCCTGTTTTCTTCCCTAGGCCTACAGAGCCTGTCAAACCAACGCTGTCCCTCAAAGGGACATCCCCCCAGTGTCCCCATCAATGCACTCAGTTATATTTTACAACTCCATCCTCACCTTCCCCCTCCCTCTATCTCTCTCTCTCTCTCTCTCTCTCACACACACACACACACACACACTCACACATGCACACACACGTTGTCAAACCCTGTCCAACTCTCATTTTGAAACATCTCTTGGATCCTTCACCCACACCATTTGTAGATGCTCTTTAGAACACACGCTATCTCCTGCTCAAAAATCTTGCACCAAAATCAAAGTGAATCTCCTCTGACATTCTAATTCCATACCACCTTCTCGGATGCCCAGCCTCTCTGAGCTTCCCTGGCTCTGAGCCTTTGCTTTGCTGTGTGTACTCTCTAAAACAGCCTTTTCTGCCACAGTCCAAATACCACCTCCTCCATGAAGTCCTTCCAAATCTGCCTAGCAAGGCTTGAGTGATCTGGCCTCCAAACCTGGAAGCCACTTGGGCCTCCAGGGGTCTTCTGATTTAGTGTTATCTTCCTTCCCTGGCTCTGTGGTGAGAACTGGACTTAATTATCTTTCCTCCACAGGGCTTGGCACAGGGCCTAGTGCATGACATTGAGCAGTGAAAGTGTTTGGTGAATGAAAGGAGGCTGAGAAGATGACAGGCACTTCATCAGGTCATGGCCTAATTCCTGCCAGTCATGAAACAGAACACCCTAATTCTGCCAGAAATCCTTGTCATTCTGCAGTCCTGTTGAGGCAGTTTGGATACACACAGGACAATGACAGCTCTCTTTTTTATATTCATCACTCCCTCAACACCCAGCCTTATCACATCAAGTAGAAGG